ATTTGAGCTTTATTCGTGTTAATATTCTTTTTTCTCTCGTTCAATGGCAAATACCAATATACTAATCAACCTATACATTCTCCGTGTTAGGTTGATTCTTTTCGGCATTTGACAACCTTAACTTAAACGATGATGATGACCATTCACAAAGCGACAATTCCTTGAAAATGATTTATGAGGGAATAGAAACACGTAGATCTATCCATTATCTTGTGTTAAGCATGCATAAGATGTTTTGAATACAAAGATAAGGGCAAAATGCATATATTCAAATATATTATGTCAACTATCACATGTCACAGTCAAATTCCTACGTATAAGTGTGTCTTCCCTCCCATCTACCTCTGATAACATGTTAATGATGGTTTCAATATATATGCTTGTACATTCGTGCTCTTTTATGAGTTTCACTTGAATGTGATTGTGTTGCATGTCTTCGGTGAATTGCTATGTAAATTTGCACTCTTTATTATAGTTTTGAGTAATGATAATTTCACATAAAGTAAAATTCACAATTTACATAGGGATTTGTAATTAATATATTTCTTTTGGTTTTAACTTTTTTGTTGTTTATTTTTATTAAAAGTTGATTTTAGTTTTAGGTTTAGAATGTTTCTTTTTGCACTACTAAAAAATGTTTTTTTTTTCGACGGAAAAATTTCGTCGAAAATAGTTCAAATTCCGTTGAAAATGAAGTCGTTGAATATCTCTTCGTGGGTAACACTTTTTTCGACGGAATTAGAGATTCCGTCGAAAAATTTCGACGGAATAAATTCTGTGAAAAGTTTCAACAGAAAATATTTCCATCAAAAAATTTCGACGGAAAATGAATAAAATTCCGTCGAAAAAACTTGTATTAATTTTCGACGGAAAACAAATTCTGTCAAAAATTTTAGACAGAAAATGAGTGAAATTCCGTCGAAAAATCTTGTATTAATTTTTGACGGAAAACAAATTCCGTGAAAAAAATTCGACGGAAAATAAAAGAAATTCCGTCGAAAAATCTTGTATTAATTTTCGACGGAAAACAAATTCCGTCCAAAAATTTCGATGGAAAATAAATAAAATTTTGTCAAAAAATCTTGTATTAATTTTTGACGAAAAATGAATGAAATTTCGTCGAAAAATCTTGTAATAATTTTCGACGGAAAACAAATTTCGTCGAAATTTTTTGACTGAAAATAAATGAAATTCAGCGAAAACTATTGCATCAATTTTCGACGCAATTTCTTTTTCCGTCGAAATATTTTTTTTATTTAATTTCTCCTTACGAAATTAATACCAATTTATGTTTTCAACCTGATAAATAAATATAATGAAAGTAAATAACATATCAAAATCATATTATTTTAATATAATTATGTGTACAAAAGTCTCTGTTATACACTAATAAAAAGAGTCTTACATATACAATAGTCTCTGTCACATACTAATAAAAAAGTCCTACATTTATAAATGTCCAAATATATACTAATCAAAAGGGACTTTCATATGCAAAAGTCCCTGTCATATACTAATCAAAAGAGTCATATATCTATAAATGTCCAAAACATATACTAATTAAAATGGAGCCTTCGCATAAGCTTCTCCATTTTTTTCATTCGCCTCTGCATCATAGCCATGAGACTTTCTTGTTGTTCAACCTTTTTGTCTTGTTGTGCAGCCCTCAGTACAACGTAGTTTGGAATCTAATCCTTCATCATAGCCTAAATCAAAAATAAATTCCGTTCAAAATTTCTGTTGAAAATTGAGACTTTTTTAGTAGTGTTGTAGTTAATCAATGATTAGGTTTTTTTTTAACTTTTTTAATGATGAGGTGACCAAGCAATATCCTGACTTTCCAAAAAAGTTTTTAGTCCTTTATTTATGTGTACATTCTATGTTTGGATAAATAATTTATTTTAATAATAATAACAATAATAATAATAAAGGATATGATGAAAAGAGTTTAGATTCCTCTTAGTTTATTTTTCAACTAATTTTAAAAATCAAAATTTATGAATCTACTAATGCTTTGTTTTTACAGAATGATGTGGCTTTAAATTATCAATTTCATCAGGAAATACGTCGGAGCAAGTAAAATTTCTCTGGTCAAATAAATAATTTAAATTTTTTATATTTTGTTTCTGTCTATTAATTATTCTGATTTCAATTTGTTTATTTATTTCTTGAATTTTTGAATCGTTACATATGCATAATTATGTGTTACACCATAATTATGCTTTGTTTCGACGGAATTATAATACCATTAAGTAATTTTGAAGCGTTACACCATATAACAATGTCTTTTGAGTTAGAATGGGGAAATTTTCTCATTATAACATAATACGTTTACAAGAACATGAGGAAACCTTAATAAATAATAATTAACTTTCATCATATTTGTATGTCTTAGGTTAATTCTTATGACTTTGTTTATTTGTTTGCTTTTATTTTTAACTTGTTTTCTTGTTTGAAGTGTATCACTTTTTTTGTTAGCTTAAATCAGTCAAATTATTGTAATTTAATAATTACATATCTTTGTGATTACACTTATTATTTTATTACTTATTGACAAACTATATAGTTGCCAATTTAACACGAAAGGTATTGAATTTATTAATTGACAGGACAACTAATAATTAAATATATATTACAAAAAAAATAAATAATTAAATATAAATTTATTGATTTTTTTCATTTATCAAAATCAAATTCAAAATGTTATGTCATAACTATCTGAATTTGAACTTGCAAGCAAAGATATAACATCATGCGTCAATTGATATAATATATTTACCAAAATAACAACAATAATAATAATAATAATGATCTTATCTCCATTTTTTAAGTTGAAAGACTAAATGACGACACATCTGTTTTGCATTCTTTATATACAATGAATAGAAATATCGAAGATTGTCAGTTGATTAAATATTTGAAAATAATAGATATAAATATTGAATGAAAAGTTGTAGATGACGTACAAAGAGAATTGGAAGATATTATAGGTATTTGACGTTGAGAGAAAAAGTTGAAGGTTAGATAAGAAATGTTATTATCCTTCAATTATTTGTGTAGCATATATTAGACATTTTGGCTGGACTAGCCTTTACACTCACAGCAAAACGCAAACTTAAAAATGAACTACATGTTTGGTTGAGATACTTGTCACCGCACATGGAAAAATACTGAGTTAGGAGGCACTTTTTGCCGAAAGACCATTTTTTTTCCCTTGAGGAAAACTCCAACAAACCTAGCCTAAATCACCTTTTTATGGAATGGTTTGGTTTCTGCTGACCCATTGATTAAAAATGATTTAGTGGCTGCCAGAGCTTTGTACTTTTGTTATACCAATATAGTGTGTTCTTGCTCATTATTTTATTTGCTGCAAAAGCAGGTAAAAAAAAATATACTTATCCAAGGATGGTCACCTAACATAACCTAAATCATTTTTATTTTATTTTTTATAAACCACTTATATCTTTGGGTCAAAAGATAATAATGGAAAAGATGATCGAACATATGTTTTCATCCCAATCTAAAATATTTTTAATTAAACATAAAATGATAATATGATCAGTATAAAAAAAAATACAGTAGAGGCTAAAATAAAAGGGTATACGATACGGTTATCAATGAAAAAAAAAAAGGCCATAAGCTGACCATTATTCCGTGTATAGTAAAGACTAAACAGATAGACACAAAATTAAAGAATGGAATAGATCATAGAACAAGATTTGTTATCTATTGGAGGTATAAAGTAAGGGGTTTGATTTTCTCATGTTGAATGAGAATTCAATTCTCATGTTGTAGAGATAAAAAACATGCGAGACCCATGTGTTAGAAAAAATTATATGTAGGACTTATGTCAGCACAGAAATCGAAGAATATGTAGGAAAATTTGAATTCTCATGTTGAATGAGAATTATAAAACCCATAAAGTAAGACCAGGGAGGTCAAAATAGAATTGTGCCCGTGAAGCTTAATGGATTTCAGTTAGCACTCTCTACCCCTGTGGGTTATAATTATGTTTTTGGATTTCTTTCACTGATCCGATTTGAATTTTGTCGTGATGACACAGAAAGTTGCTTTAGTTATCTGTTGGAGTATGATGTCACTATGATACTAACAAGTGGATGTAGGGAGCTGCTGCTTTAGTTATTTGTTGGAGCATGATGTTACTGTGGTACTAACAAAGTAGCAACTTTATATTTTGTACTATTTCCTTTTATCTGTAGCCACTTGTAATTAAAGTATAATATGCATATGACGTTTTAGGTAACCAAAAGTCATAGTATGTATGTGAGTTTTGTATAATACTGCACACTTGCTAAATACTTGAAGAAATGAATCATTTGCTTTATTAAGAGAAAAAAGAGTTAAACAATCTCTATAGATTCAATCTTCCAAATTTTATCAGTCAGAGAGACATTTTCAGCTAAGAAAGGAGGATAGTCACTTTGACATAACTCCAAATCGTGATTTGATTAAACATGTAATAATAACAGATAAAGTAGTCCAAGGCACTGTCATTAATTGTTGTGGTAAAGCACTGTTAGGTGAGGCTAAGCTACATTAATAGTTTTATATATCTCAACACTCCCCCTCACACGAGAGCCCACTGGGCTTGAAGGGTGGATAATGCACAGGCCCACCTACCTGTGAACAAAGAAATTTCACTTGAAAGAAAGTGAGGGACGGCGAGGCTCTGATACCATGTAAAGAACCTTAAGATACACCACCCTAAAAGCTAGCTCAAAGGGTGGAAGTGCTCAAGGCCTTATAAAAGTCACATTAGTTGCACATACAACCAATGTGGGACTATACACGCCCCCTCACACGAGAGCCCACTGAGCTTGAAGGATGGACAACATACAAGTCCACCTACATGTGAAAATTCCACTACAAAGAAAGTGGGAGGCAGTGAAATTTCGAACGCTCTGATACCATGTAAAAAACCAATTGAACCCAAAAGCTACCAATTCAACCCAAAAGCTTAAGCTGTTGGGTGAGGCTACATTAATGGTTTTATATATCTCAACAAAATATATGTATTATACACAAATACTCCAAGCTATTTTGAAGAAAAGAGAGGAATTGAGCAGTGAGTGAACAAATAATGAATTCCCTAAGGTATCCTTACACCGTTTAGAAAAGAACTAACAAGGGAGAAGATCATCCCCAAAGAGATATAAAAGTCTCTCCACAGCCCAGCTAGGTTGAGGAGGAGGCACACATGTTGAGCTTTCTGATGACAAGCAATAAGAAGTGAGTAAAGGTGCTCTACAGAGTGGACAAGTGGGGTTGTGGTTATCATGATCTTGGTCATGGTCATGGTCATAGTCCAACCACGTGTCTATGCATTCCTTATGAAAGACATGGTAGCAGTTCATGAGCTCCCTAACCTCATCTTCCATTTTAAGGTGGTTCAAGCAAACAGCACATGTGTTGTCTGTTTCTGGCAGCCTCTCCACAATCTCACCAAACGTTGTCAACGGAAGAGTGTTGTCTCTTATAATCTGTGAAGAGGGTTCAGGTGGGGTGTGAAGAGAGCGAGTCCTCCTATCTTTGATCAGTTTGAAAACCAAGCACAAGACCCATCTCAGAACTGCAATGATTAGAGCTGCCTCGTATATAGCTTGACCTATTGTCAAACCAGAGATAGGGTCCTCAATAACGCACAAGCCCATTTGAAAGCTATCAACAATGAAGTCACTGAGAAAAGAAGAAAGGGAAAAGGGGGAAGTTAAGTTGAGCTCTATGGCTTCTTTATAAAGAAAGCCAATGGAGTGAAAGTGGTGGAGGAGGCTACCCTGTTTTCTCTCTCTCTCTCTTTCCTTTTACTTTCACTCTCTCTTCTACGTTCTTTCTTGTTCTCCTTTAATGTTATTTTATTTTCATCTTTAAATGTTTATCCACCGTCCTTTTGTCATTAGGAATAAAGGGTCACCGACTAGTCATTGATACTCTTCCGCGTGTGATTAGTCTATCTCAGAGGCCAATCTGAGGGAGGGGTTAACCTATTAGTAATTTTTTATTTATTTATTTGTCAAAGGGCTGATTACAACTAATACAGTTGGATCATCACATTTGATAATGGATCTTGAGATTCTCTCCTTGAGTTCTTATTCTTTTCTCTATTTTTTGTAGGCATAACACTTAATGCATGTGCAATAATGTCTGAATGAATTACAATGAACTCGCTCAGTTTTATTTTTATGCTACATAATTCTGCAGTAAAACCTAACGACCACCAAATGGTGTGAAGAAAAAATGAAGCACATATCCACTTATTTTAATGTAGCAAATCAACCGAATGCTACGTGCAAGCAACGTGCAACTGCAACATCGTGTCCGCTCTAATGAAATTGAGCCGTCTGATTGACCATTTTAATATCCAAGAAAAAAAAAACTTTAATAAAACTCCACCTCTATAAACTATAGAGTGCCATCAATTATGGGCTTAATTATTATACAGTTGTCATAATAATGAGATTTTTTAGGCGAAAGATAAAGGGTTCACTACGGTCATAATATCAGGTCGCTTTTTCACAAGATTACGAAACGTCACAATGACCCCATTGCGTGTGTGGATTCCAAACATCCTAGTCAGATCCAACCTATGCGCCATGCATCATGACCATAAATTGGTTAATATGTACGATGAACATAACAAAGAGGAATGGGTGCGCATGAGTGGTGGGGCCAAAGTAATGGAAAACAGTAGTATAAATAAAAAAAGGTAAGGATCAACTATGATTCATTGCTTGCAATAGAAGGGAAAAGAAATGACCTTATGCCATACACAAAACAATTTTACAACCTGGATATTATTGCTATCTGGCAAAGACGTGTCTTACATAGGTCTCAAGATGTCACAATTAAATAAAAGTGGAAAACTTTTGTTCTGCTAAAAGAGAACTTCTAGACATTGGTAATATTTGAAGCGGCACCGCATAAGAAGATTACAAATACAAGCATAAATATTATTCAAATGCTTTGGTTCATTGCTCCGCCTTCTTCCATCTTCTTTCGCATTTTGTATTGCAAAGTAGCTGGAGCACAATCTAAAGGTGTTTCTCCTGAATAAGAAGCAGTCAGTTAGGATTTGCATTCCAGAATTTTGTTGCTTATTATTAATTTTTTATATCTCTGTTTGAAGTGCAGTAGAACAACAACGGGAATAACAATATTGTAAATGGCTGAAGGGAAAAGATTAATTGCCTTGTGCATTTTTGTATCCCAGACTTGCCCCCGAATCCATGAGAATGAAAACTATATCAGTTTGATTGAATACTGAAGCCTACACAGAATATTAAAATTAGTATCCACCATATGATTAAGAAAAACAGAATTACATTCTTGCTTGCACAGGCACGAGCAGAAAACAGAAGAAGAATGTGAGAGGTACCAAATGCAATAAAGACATTCCTTGCTTGTCCCTGTAATTTGCATCCACACCCTGCACATTTTAGAATCCATAAATACAACTTCCAAAAAGTTTAAACTATAAAGGTAAGTGTCTCCTTAGAAAAGGGACAAACCTCATTAAGAAGTTTCTTGACAGCAGCAACATCACCATTTTTTATTGCTTCTCTTAAACCCTGATAGCATCACATTCAATTTAACATATGACTTTCAACACCCAATATCTTTTTGCACAATGCCATATCAGAAATTGTTTAAACCTGAACAAAAAATAACATTTACCTCTCCATTAGCTTCATAATCAATCTGGGGTTTGTCTGAGGTACCATTGGTTGCATGACCACGGTTAAACGTAGAACTGTAAATTTTGCATCATAAATTATCAAATAATAAAAAACAATAAAGAGCAAAATTAAGTAATGAATTAGCGATGACCAGTTTACTTGCACATAATGATATTGATAATTGCTTTATAAATGTACAATACAAAGAAGTTTCTGCATACTAAATAAACTAAATTTTCCTGATGAAGATACAGTGTCACTTCATTTCTCCTGTTCACAAGAAGGAATAGAAGAATACAATCAACCCTCTAGGTGCCTTTGGCTTGTGCATAATTCCAGAATATTTAGATAGAAATGTCCTCCTCAATTTTTGTGGGAAATGATTGTTTCGTCAGATTATGGGACAGGGAAATGCTAAACCTTCGCCATTACCATCTCAGCCAAGGAATGTTTAACATGCAAGAATATATATTTCCAGTCAACAGGAAATTGAATTTAACATCAAAGAAAGGGCTCCTATTCTCTTAACACTGATGAGCTTCTAAAACTTTGTCTAAGTATAGGAACTAGACACATCAAGGGAAAGAGAATGTGATTTCTAGCTTTCAATACAAGAAATTCCTTTCTTTTACTCTACGTTATCAGTTTTTGATCCACAGAAGCTGGAGAATGAACAATACCCTTGGATGGAAACAAACATGTTGAAACTATGTACTAAAAATGGTTCAAAACATACATATTTCCAGCAAAAACAGATATTTGTTAATCAATCCCTACCTAAACTTGCTGGATGAACCGGAGCTTCTATTTCTTGGAACAGTATCTGTCTTCTTGGGTTTAGGATTTGGTGGAGCTGTAATGACTGGATTGGATCTCTTCTGTCACAAAGGATAAAAAACAGAAACCCATGACATTGTGGATTGCACTAAAAGGAAGTACCTGATGATGATAGGAATTATTACCTGCTGGGGGATTACAGCAGAGGAAGGGGTAGGAGCTTCACAGATGCAAAGAGGCATTCCACACTTACACTCTTTAATGCCTGATACAAGCTTATTCCCTGCAGTTGGTATGGTTTGTGAATCAACATTTGCATCAATATCTAATTTAGAAATTGTGTCTGTTACACTGTTTACACCATCCGAAGAAGCCTGTGGGACATCCTTCCTAGTTCTGTGCAAAAGAAAAGATGAAATGTGCAAATGATTTTTAGCAAATATTGATCTCATGTAGAAAATAATATTATTACAAGAAGAAAAGAAAAAGAAAATACTGGTACAGGAAGTCCACATCGACAAATATAAAGAGAAGTATAAGGCAATGGAAGAAAAAAAGGTCTGCCAGCAATACCAACTTAAAGTTACAAGGAAAACAAAAGGACTTTTTTCATCGACACTGTGCACCTTCAGAGTGGAACAAAAAATATTATTATCATTATTTTTTTAAAAAAATCTAGCGCCAGGAAATGAGATATGCTTTATGTGGTATAAAAAATGGATTGACATGTATTTGCAATCCTAAATGGTAAGTGGAATAACAACCTGAAAGTTTCTCGAGAAACATGAATTCATACTAAATTATTAATAAATATAGTATCAATCCATACTTTTGTAAGATTAGGCATTTGGCTTCTACTTGGTTTAAAGCACATGGTCTTTTTAAAGGGATTTCTGTTTTCCCTTATAATTATGTTGAGGGATTGGATGGCTTTGCTTCATCGATGTGTTCTTTGTTCTCTCTTGGTTGTTTTTTCTTTTTTTTCTCTTTTTATTTTTTAAGGAGGATCTCTTATTCTCTTGTCTATTTCTGCATGGTTTTCTTCTTTTATCTGGAAAAAAGAGAAAAGAAAAGAAAACACACATGACTTTTGCATTGAACTTTTTGCCATATGATTTAAAGTAAAAATACCTTCTTCACCAAAAAGGAAAAAATAGTACTATTGCAGAAAAGCTTGATCTTTTTTAGAGCTTTTTGAAGACAAATAAAAAGATCCAAAATAATAAGGTTGAAATAGCCAATGACACTGAAACCGGTTTTATAGACCAAGTCACAAGTGCACCTCCTCACCATCTTTTCCTTCTCTAAGTGGTAAGTCCCTATTTATTTTTTTTAAAGGAAGATTTGTTAAGACCCTGAGATTTACGGTCATCTTACATTCCAGCCTTTTATAGTTCTGAAATACCATATATCATCATGGTTAAACATGTTATTCACTATGAGGTTATTCTTTAATGTGTCTTTGTGCAGATTTTGGCCTCATCTTATTGAGAAAAAGTTAGTCCAACGAATCAGCTTCATGTTGAATACTTCTCCATACTCAATCATTAGAACAGGTATTTAACTTAAGTGCGTAATGATCCCCAATGTAGCCTAGAAAGAATATTAGACACTTAGTTCTTACATTTATGCTTAAACATATCCCGAGTTCCACCAAACAAGGTGGATCAACATCAACAATACCTTTGTCCCAAACTAGTTGGGGACCAAACAAGGTGGATAAATAAAATTAAATTTTCAGGTACTCATATGATGTTAAACAGATAATAAAAAGAATGCCAAACACATCTTAGCTTATTCAGCATGCTTATCGTATGAACAGAAAAATATCTAGTTTTGTAGCCAAATGATATTTGAAAAATAATAACATGCTATGAAGTTTATGTGGAAGTAATTTACCCTGAATTGTTGAAACAATCAGCACATACTCGGACATCTGAGTATATTCCAAATTGTGGTAACGCCTACATAGAAGAGTATCGCTATATGAAGTTCATCCAGGATAACACTTCCACTAATATTCTAAACCAAATGAAAAACATAGTACCATTTGATCTGATGAATGTTCATTGCACAATGTTCTCCCGCAGGATCGACAATGATGCTGCATACACATCACACAGAAGTATATAGTCAGATCCCAAATACTGGAAAAGATTTTTATTGTGAACTGAATTTCAAGTAAATGGTGTTTCCAAATAAAAAATTATGTGAGACTAGCAGAATTTACACACAATGCCTTGAAGAGAAGTAAATTGCTCTGGCAAATTTTCAAAAGAATACTGTAACAGAATCTTTTATCATGCATAGATTGTTAGACCAAATGCTACGCACCATGACCAACACTATGTTTAATGGAAATGGCTCATTCTGTGTGGAAAAGTGAATAAGTATTAAGTACCAAGTACTGTAAATTTGAAACCATTTCAAACCTAATGGTTGTGCATCTTGAACAAGCAGCTAACCTAAACTGTTTGCAATGATTATTATTTACTTTTGGGGATAGAAAATCATCATCAAATTCTTAACTTATAAATTTGGGATTTTCCCAGAAAGAAGAACAGTAACCAAACCGACCGATTTTAATGCCAAGTATTTAGCATCTAAATGTCCTTGTGAAGATTCCCAAAATGCTAAACACAAAGCAAAGCGTTACGCTTTATATATCCAAAGAGGGTGCAGAAAAGAACATGCAAGAATGCAAATGGAAATTAAAAAAAAAAAAACTCAATTCCGAAATTGGGAATCTGCATGCATAGCATAATAAGAGATATGATAAATCTAATGGGGGATCTAATTGGTGGAGAAAGAGGGTACCCACCCTTCTCCTGAAGGTATTGAAACTGCAACTGCAGACAACACATCGTGCTGCTTCTTGGAAAGGAGGAGGATCTGTTGACATGATGATATATATATATATATATTCTTCTCTTCGACAAAAGGGGTTTCTTCTTTAACTCTCACTCTCACAAATTTTCAATCTTTTCTGTGTCTGTTAATCAGATCACCAATTCCCAGGAATCAATGCATTTCTCCAATGGAGGGGGACTAACATTTTTTTATTTTATTTTAATTTTTTGCAGAGAAGGTGAAGAATACGAATATACGATCTCCAATAATTTTTTAAAAAAATATAGGAAAATTTTATAGAGTTTACTTGGTAAGAATCAAAGATTTGGCATTTTGGGTCGAAATCTAAAGCGGATAATATGTTTATGGATCAAATTCATTGGGTTTGAATAAATATTGGTGGACCGTTCAAACAGTAACGGAGCCCATTTTACTCCAAGCAAAGTGGGCCTCATTAAAGGCCCGATAATTTCATGCCCAAGATATTTGTATAATTAAAATAAAAAATAATCAGACTGCCCTTTTTTTTTTAATTAATGCAAAGGACCAAACCCCTTAACATTATTTACCACGCAAGTTACCTTACGGTTTAAAATAGTATAAAATCAATATTAAAAAGTGCAAAATACCTTTTTTTTTTTAAATAAACCATAGATATTCTCCCTAAGAGATAATTTTATTCAAATATAGAACAACCAATATCATGGTAGAATTAACTCTCGCAAAAAAATATTTTTATATTTACAAAAACTTGAACCAAAATTTTGCTTAAGCACCATTAAACATCAATGATAAGATCAATCTAAATTAGTGGCGTCAAAGAATTTAATAATACAATTTAAACAGTTTGATAAAATGTGCGAATTAATTCAATAAAAAATTGATCAACTCATTTTTAGTTTGGTTTATCAATAGAACCTTGAGGTGAAAAATATGATTTATCAGCGGTAAGATTTGACAATAAATTTGCCTACGCGTCAACTTGTTTAAAGAACATTAAAGAAAGATGTAGACGGCACCTGATTGTGGGGTTTCAAATGCCAAATTTTGACACCGGTTAACAATTTAAGGTGTAGTTAGTTAATTGTGCATGGTGTACTAAAAAAAAAAAGGTTAATTGTGCATGGTTTTACTTTTTAGCTCGATATATAAGTTGGGAAATATGTCTCTCTTAGGAGAGATAATATTTTTCTTACAAATACATCGAAATATTTGTTTTTTCTTTTTTTATTTATTGTCATGAAACTCACAATGTCTTTGAGTCTGTCACATGAGAGAAGATGTCTCTTACTATATAAGAAAATACAAACTCATATAAGTTTTACTGCATATTTACAACAATTTTAAATGAGGGGTGACCCGATGAGTAAGGGTCGTCTTGTAATAAACGCATCTTTTACAATAATTTTAAATTAAGAGGTGACACGATGTCGATAAGTACAGTTTAAGGTTTTGTCATGCATTTATTGGATCCGCTGGGAAAACCGATGAATGGCAATGGATATTAAACGAGGGTTTTTGGTTGAAATGATTTTTGAAATTTTGTAAGAAATTTGTAAAGACAATTATGTATGTAGAATTGAATTCTAAGTATCAACGTTAACCGCTAAACTAAAATAATAATAAAGTATTATAATTGGTATATAATTATTTTGGTAAGTATAATACTTTATTATTTTATTGAGGAGTTGATTATATTATCTATCATTTGAATTTTCTTACTTTTGTTATATTTACTTTTAGAGAAAGATTATATTTATCACCTATTAATTTTATCATTTCTTACCATCAAATTTTAACCATTAATTTTCGCTAATTTGACAGTTATAATTTTTTGAAAATTAACGGTTAAGATTTAATAATAAAAAGTAATAAATTTAATTGATAGTAAATATATCATTCCCCTTACTTTTATATATTATATATATTTTAGTATAATATAATGAGAAATATTACTCTCTTTTCACATCAGATAATTTCTCTCATATTTTTCTATTGACATCTTTTTTTTTCTTTTTTGTAATGATAAGACTCATCTATTTTTTATCAACAACATTTATTTTACGTGAAAGTTGAGTAATAAAATCTAATATAATATTATAAATTTGGTTCAACTTCCTTCAGTTGAAATAGGCACCTAACAACTGAGTGTCCGGACTTACTTGATTTAAGGATACTGACTTCAAAGGTTAAAGTTTACCTCCCATTGCTCCTTTGGATGAAACGTGCAAGAACAGACAACTTCTATTTCTAAAAAATATACAAATAAATAAAAAAGACACATGTTTCTTATGAAAAACTCATGTTTATTCTGAAATGTACGACCATAGGGACCACCACAATGAATGGAATCAATGAGAGCCTCTTCCTCTTGAAAGTGTTGTAGTACAAGTACCCAACAAAGCTTGCAATTCCAGCTTCGTTGCTCCTAAACCACACAATTCAAGCATTCTCTTTGATCCGTTGGGATATATCTTAATTTTCATCTTGTTATGGAGATTGCTGGTGATAGTAATGTTGATGGAAGGAGTTACAACATGGAGGTCCAGAACAACGTGGGTGATGATGGGTCGGTGATGCATTTATCTGCTAACCGGTGTGTGTCTCATCACTGATATGTCTCTCTATTTCTATGTATGCTGTATTCTGACACCCATAACCCCATGTTTTATTTCCGTATTTGATTTCTTGTGTATTGTTAATTTTTATTTTTTTGCCCCTCCAAGTGAGCAATTACCCTACTAGTACATATTATTTAAGGAAAGGTTTCAAATTTCTGTGGATCCCAAACCTGGGGTGAATACTAAACTTTGATTTTTATAAGTGAGAGATGAGAATCCCTATAGTTTTGGATTTAGTAGCTTTTAGGGGCATTTAGTTAATGAAAAAGAAGTCATATATGCCTGGAAAGGGATCTTGTTTAGGGCAGGAGTTATAGATTAGACTTGGTTATGAATTAGAAAAAAGTATAACGAATGGACGGACTTGTAAACCCAAGTTTCTGAATTTAAAACGTTCTAAGCACTGAGAGATTTTTAATTAGCACCATCTTTGGGATTTTGTCCATTTTGAAACCGAGAAAGCCATTAGCTAAAGAGATGGAAATGAGTACAAAGAAGGAGCTGAGCTTATGTGCATTTGCTTTATTTATTTAGATAAAAGCTTATGTGCATTTGTTCATCTGGATGAAGGATGATACAGCCTAAAGGGAAGATAATTCTCCCTCAGATGTATTTAGATGCAAAAATTTTATAAGTTTTGAACATTTGACTTTTAATTTACCCAATTATTAAAAGATCTGAGGGTTTTTGCTAGGAAGATATGATATATGATCTACCTTGTCCAGTCCAATAAAAAAAATATTATGAACCCATAATCTTGATTCAGTGAAAAAGAACATTAGAAACTTCTTAGTGGTTTAATTAAAAAGCACATCAAACAATCTGGATTCAAACCCTGTTACAAGATTGTTGGGTTTGAGCCCAATTCCTGATCTGAAATTTTTTTATAGATGGTTTCCTATTTTATTTGTACGTTTATCTCTGACAACTAATATTAATATATGTGAAAGATATGTATATTATTTTATAGTTTTATGGAAGATATGCAAGATTTGTTTTTAATAAGAAAAGTTTGATGGAAGATATGTAAGAGATATGCAAAGATATAAAAGATTTTATTTTAATAAGAAACTGGGAATGTCGTATAGAGTGTAAAAAGGGTAGTTGCTTGTCAAGCAAGTTCTTTGTTGGGTTATAAATACTTGTACAGGGGAATTGGTTGAGGCATGGGAGGGGGAGAATGAGAGGCCTCGTAGAGAAGTAGGGACAACGGTAAGAAAGGGATTTGGTATTTCCTCTCAAGACATGTGTGTCACAATAGTATCACATTTTAGCTCAAAAGGTTAAAGCAATTTTCTATCGAGTGGAATATTTGATAATTTTTTTTTGTGGGCCTGGACCATGGTAGTCTATCTCCAAAATAGAAAAAAAAGAGGGATTGAGAGGGGGAGGGAAATCAAGAAATGAAGGATAGAAATGGAAGAAAATTTTCCATTTACGAGAAAAGGACCATTGAATAAGCGGTGGGTGTGGAGCATATTAAATTTTTCCTTAATATTCCACTATGACATTGTATCTTAACCCTGATGCTTAAAATAATAGTTTCCTTTATCAAAAAAATAAAAACAAAACAATAGTTTCATCGGTCCTTGTATTCATAAAGCACTCGTTTTCTTCATTCTTTACTAATTCGGGCCTTCTTGTTCCCACATATATATCCACTTTAAACACACTTGATTTCCCCAACAGAGACTTACTAAACCCTATATTAAGTGTTTCCTAGCCACTTGACTACAAGCAAGTGGCTTCATGGATCACCTTACATTCCATCTACTTTTTTTTATCCATGTTTGGGGTATGTTTTTGAAAATAACTCATCTTCATTGGCATTTCTTATATAACATTATTTATAGGTTTCCACTTTTAACCAAAGATTCTGCTGCGGCAAAGGAGGGAATCAAAAATTGATAAGGGGGGGATCAAGAATAAAAAAACAAAAAATTTGCATTCATGTTATTTAACTTATATCTTGGACAGTACTTTGGTCTATCAGGCAACATAAAAAAGAACCTACTTATACTGAACTGTTGTGACTTCACATTCACAATAAATTCTTGAAACATCTCTCAATAATACAGAGTTTACCAATCTAGAAAATGTAGAAAACTATATTAAGTCTAAAGCATATATAACACTGAGTGTGTACTTTTTTCCCTCCTTCCCCTTCAGGCCACTGCCAACATCTGGAGTGAATGCAGGGATTCCTTGTACAACTCGGTTTAGCATCTTCTATAATGGAAGAATTTCTGTCTATAATGGAATTCCTGAAGAAAAGGTAGCTCCTTGTTGAAAGATGAAGTGATAAATGAATACTGCAGCTATTCACTTTCAGTGTTATGGCCTTAGAACAACCCATATATATTTATTCTGTTATTTACTAACAGGTGCATGAAATAATGTTGATTGCTGCTGAAGCTGCCAAGTCTGCTAAAGTCAAGAGTGGGAACCCCTTCACTTCACTCATTCCCACTAGCCCTTCTTCTCCACAAGGAATCTCTAGTAATTTGCCTTCACCACAGTCAGTCTCCTTTCCTGCGGAGAAGAGTTCCATTTGCAGGCTGCAAGGTATTGAACTAAACTTAGATGATAATCTGTTAAACAACTTTGTTGTGTGGCACTATGTGCTTCCTTATCATTTACTATTCAGTAATTGTATTGTCTGTTATTTTAATGTAATAAGAATTTAAATCTTTTTTGGCTTTTGCTTTATATCTATATTCAGAATTTCCACTAGCTCGCAGACAGTCACTTCAAAGGTTTCTTGAGAAGCGACGAAACAGGTGCTAGCAGCTTGTCATGTTTAATGGTGTCTCTAATTAGTTTAGAATTTCTAATACTCGAATATGATTTATTATTTATATATTGGTTTTCTTATGACGTTTTGTTTTTGTTTCTTGAATAAAGATTGGGTAGCAAAGCCCCTTATGCCTCACCAACAACAAAAGCTGCTGAAAACATGGAGAACAACTTCTATGCTGACACTACTACACCAGATTTCAGCAAAGTTTTGCTGGCTCTTATGGGCAACTAGTGTTGGTTCTACTTTGTGTGATGTGGTACTGTCTGGAATAACATGTGAAAGCATAGAAACTAGTATAGCTGTGTTATATTATCGAGACCATATTATATGCCTAATTATTAAATTTGATGTGTATGTGAGTGAAGTATGACTTGAAAGTAGGTTTAATCTGTTAATGTCTAGAAAATATCCATTATGCTCAGAATACCTGGCTTTTAAACTGTTACTCTAGTACCTTTAATGTGTCTGGACAATTGATTATCGATGGGGTTGTAAGTTATGTTTACATGATGCATCTAGCAGTTACCTTTGTATTTTGGATGTTCTACGACCTACCACAATTTGAATATCTTTTTTGCACGGAAATTTGTCATTTTTTTCGATAGAAGTTTTCATGAAAGGTTATATCAATAAATGTATAAATTTAGTACATAATTATTAATAAAGAAGAAACCGTTTTTTTTTATATACAAAAAAAGTACTCGTGTTTCGAATTAGAGTACTTAGTTATTAATAAAACATACATAAAAATTGGTAACCGTAAAAAGCATACACAAAAATTTACAGCACAATCATATGTATTATTATGAGTAAATCATTAATTTTGTTCTCTAATTTTAAAGAGTTGTGATATTAGTCTTTCAAATATTTTTCTATTAAAGATGTAAATAGTTAGTAAATTCATCTCAATGTGGCATATTTCAGAAAGCTCTTTTTTGTAAATTTATTTTCAAAAGCTCTTAATAAAAACCGGAAAAAAAAATCAGAACTCAACCTAAGTCAATTTAAATACATAATAATAGGAGAATATTTATTTTAATATTAATCAAAATCTTTAAATGACTAATGTGATGACATCTTAATTTATAAAGAACTACATTAAGAGTTTATTCTAATATTTTTTTCACTAATGTTATATTTTAAATAATTATACACGACCACTAATGTGATTCACTCTTTAAAACGCATTCTATATTTTATTTTTTATTTTTTTAGTACAAACGCATTCTATATTTTAAATGAGACATATTCTGATTTTATTATACCAAATTTGTTAAACCACTCATCACACCCAACCCAGGAAAATCTTAACTACTCACCCCACCAAACTAAAAAAATCTTACACAGCCCACACTACTTGTCGGTGGGTTCACCATACGAATTATATTATAAACACCAAATTCCTAAATTCCGACCATATAACAAGCTGGTAAGTGGTAACTTATGTCTAAAATAATGGGCGCGATCATGTCTGGTAAGAAAATCCTAACCATTTATATGCAAATTAATTATGATGAAAAATGAGAAAGAAAAAACATTTGAATAAGAAATAATAAAATCATTACCTTTGATTTACCTATAAATGATTAAGACCCTTTCACATAATATGATAATGTTAACTAAGCACCCACTATCAAAATAATGGATATTTAAGGATACAAGATACCCTTCTAAAAGTAATGAGACATAAAGCATGTTCCTCGGCCGAATATGAATATGCCGTTTCTTGATATCAGGGTAGTCGATCGGATCTGCAATCTACCCGGGTTTTGTGCATTGGGCTAGGCCCTACAATAACAACATATTGACATGCACAATTTTTTTCTCCGAGTGAAATTCATTTCGAATTGAAATCTTCATGATAGATCCCAACCAGTAAATATTTCAGAACTCTTAAATTCACTCTTTCGAAACCCTAGTTCTCACGGGTACACACATCAGCTTCTTTCTCCTCTTTTTCAACTGGAATAATGTCACAACCCGTAGCTCAATTCCTTAGATGAAATAAATATTAAGAAGCCAAGTTACTACGCATAGCTGGTCTTCAGATCTTTGGTGATTTAGCAATACAAATGTTTCCGTATTTAAATGCTAATATCATCTTGCATAACAAAGGTATACAATACACTACACATGTAATAGCATTGAGGACGCACGAATGCAGCGGGAGAGAGAAATAAACCCAAAATAAAATAAAGAAGTGAGTTCGACCAATTTTAAATTACTAGATTCACAATCATTATAAAAAAAAAAATATGCCTACATATCAGGAATATTGAGGACGTATTTAAATGCTAGTATCAACTTTTACTTAAGTTCTCTCTCTCACTGCATTGCTGCATAAACTTTTGAGAAATTAAGAACAAATAAAACTGTATATGGATATATCACCCAAAAAAACTGTATATGGATATATCACCCAAAAAAACTGTATATGGATATATCACAAAAAAAAACTGTATATGGACAGATTCAAACATAACAGGGACAGAAAAGTGAACATGATAGCAGTCGAGAAGAAATTAACAACAATGCGCATAAACAGTGGCCGAACGGAAGTTCAAACTCGACATCCTTATTTCACAACAAAGGTCTACATGTATGACCAACAAACGAACCATGGGTCTACAGGACAACCCACAAGTTCCATAACGAGGAGACTGTATTCAGCAAAGTTTACAAGATATCGCACTATCTCACCTTTCGTTATTTACATTCTAATGCGCACTACGCATGATTCCATGCAGGTAACCACCTGTCATTATGAGGGACACAAGTGATACAACACCTGCTGGAAAAACCTTTCCTGATTTCTTGAAACGAGAACCCATCACCCCAAGAAGTGCAGCAGATATGCCTACATATCAGGAATAAAGCAAACGAAATCAGAAACGAGAGCAGAAGTTAATCACATGGAGCTTAACTCTATATATCAATTGCAGTTGTGCACAAGGTTGTCAAAGTCGACTGTTTACGTAAACTTGTAGGAGAGTAAACTCAGCTAATGAATTCAACATTGTACCCTGCTTCAAAAATAATATTTCAAACACGAATTCGGGTACTCAAAGAATTCAGCGCTAAAATTACAAGTGTTATCAAACATAGTTTAGGATGACCATAAACTTCGAGGCAAAGATCCTTATGTGGAAAACCACAATTTGTCACTGCAATTGCATAACAATACATCATAGACTATTCCATGCCAAGCTGAAAAACTTTCTGAGTTTCAACAGTATTATATCTTTTTTATTTTGGGTAGGTTTTATAAAACTTACAGGCTTAAATAGGAAACTACTTAGCTTTTAATTCTTAAAAGGAAGTTCAGAATTCAGGGATTACCAAATAAAACTTTAAAGTGCACATTCAAAAGAGCTCAAAACTTAGACATGGGGATGTTTCTTATACGGGGGCAGAAGCCCAAGAAATATATACTAAAATAATTTTTTTTTTTAAAATAGTAATGCCTCCTTCGTAGAGCAATTTCCTTTGTATCATACAAATAAAGCACAAAAATGAATGTATCCTATCTATTAACAGATGAGATGGCTTGTTATGACAGGCTTTAGCCAATAAGTAAGATATCTTGACAAACTAGTCACTTACCAAGGCCAAGAGATGATGCCAAAACAGGTCTTACAGGTAGCTCAGTATAAACATAATACAGAAGGGCGGCAGACAAACCCCCAGCCAAAAGTGACTTCTGGCTGCCACTCTTGAGATAGCCCATTACACCACCAGCTGCCAAAAACCATGAAAAAGATCAATATGTACATGTCATGTCACTGGGGAAAAAAAGAGAAAAAAAAAGGGATGATAATGCATAATTATGGTGTAATTCGTTGGACATATTATAACGTGAAAAACCTATGGTACGTACAAAGGTTTTTCTTGGGTTTTCTTACCTATCTTGGCTATTTTTGTAACACAAGGATGGCAAAACAAAAAGAAAGAAAAAATGGTGGCTTTAGTGAGGAAGCCTGACCTCTTACTTGCACACAGTGCCAAACTAATATTTTCAACTGATATGTTTTATTAATCCAAACTCTAATTAAATAGACAATTACACATGAAAGCCATAATACATGAAAATAGGAACCACCTAAAACTACCTCTACCCACTTTGCTAGGCTTTGGAAACTGCCAAGACTTATTCAAATAAATTCAAATACTAGTCTAGTAACTAATTAGCAACAATAACGAAATAATAAAATAAAACAAAATAAAAACTAAAAAATTCGTAACATTCCGTCCTCCTAAAAATTACTCGTCCCCAAGAGTAATTCCTTTTATTTTTTATTCTATTTTCCCCTATCGGGCGGCTCCTCTTCGAGCTCCATCTCAGCTTCTCCGTCGCTACCCTCCATGAGGGCGTGAATTGTGAATAACTTCTTACAACGGTGACCCGGTACATAAGTCTCATTACAACGAAAGCATAAGCCATTCCGTCTTCGTTGCGAGATTTCATCAAAGGATAATCGTTTGACCGGTGGATTTTCGCTCCGAGTTGGGTTATTCATGAGGGAAAGGGTTGAACTTGTGGTATTTGGGGAGATCTGTCTATTTCATACCTCATACAATTTGGCAAGCCCAATAGCATTAGATAAGGAAGTGGGTCGATTTGCTTGCACATGCGCCCGAAGACTCTCAGAAAGCCCACTTATGAAGCAACTTACCTGCCTTGACACCTCCAATCGTCCAACCTTGGAGAGCAATTTCTCAAATTGACTTTGGTATTCTTGCATCATACCATGTTGCTCCAACTTGGTCAATTCCCCAAAGAAATCAACAAATTGATTGGCACCGTAGCGTTGCAGTATTTCTTTTCGAAACTCCAACCAAGTGATATGGGGATGGTCTTGGATGAGTAATTGGTACCACAACTGAGCATCTCCTGTGAAATGGAAAGATGCTAGTGAAACTCTTTCTTCTTCTGGGGTGTGATGATATTGGAAAAATTGTTTAGCTCGGCATAGCCAACTAGTTGGGTCTTCATTGTCATTGAATCGCGGAAAATCCAACTTGACCACCTTGGGAGCGTATGTTGCATGCGATTCTGAAGCATTATGGGAGCTGCTTCCAGAATTATTCCCTTTATGACGTGTTGGTGTGGTGACCTCTGTTACACGGACACGCAGTTTTTTTGAGAAAGGGCGTGTCGGACACGTGTCCGACACGGACAAGCTCTGACACGCGGTCAATATTTGGGGGACACGCGGTCAACTCTCGGACAAGTTCCGACACGTTTTTCCGACACGCGATCAATTTTTTCCGACACGCGGTCAACGCTTGGACACACTCGGACACGTTTTTTTTTTTTTTAAATCTTAATTTTATTTTGTTAACTAAATATAAAAGAAATAATTTATAAATTAATTTTTTCCTGTTATGAAATTTGACGTGAAAAATTAACAAAGTACAAAAAATTGTTATTTTTTATATCTATGTTATGAAATTTAAATATTTGATTGGTTAAATGACTTATTATGGACTCTTATATGTATTAAATATAAATTATATTATATCTATTAAAAAAACTAAGAAAGCTAAACTGTGGAAGCTAGAAAATGTGAGAATGGAGGTAGGGAGTGCAAAACGAAACAAGATACGAGGCATTGCATCAAACAACAAAAGCAAATATACTCATAGTTAACTCAGCTACTTGAATCCAAAAATAAACAAACAAAATTTTGTAATGGATCGATCACTTAGGGTTTAGTTACAATGATCTAGTGTTGGTACTTGAGAGAGAGAGAGAGAGAGAGAGAGAGAGAGAGAGGTACCTCCAACGAGGACAGCATAACCTAGAGTTAATTTCTGAGACATTGACAAAGCCATCTTCCTCTTGTCTTCGTCGGATCCTTCCTCGTCCTTGCTGTTATCACCTCCTCCTTCTCCTCCTCCTCCTCCGCCGCCGCCAAAACCTTTGCCGTTGCCGGCACCAGTGTCACCACCAGTATTATCCAAATCGGGCTGACTTAGGTCAATGGAGGTGGTGGCCTTGGAATCGGATGAGACAACAGCAGCGTACACGTGTCGCCGATTGGAATGAGTTAAGTAACCGAAACCAACAGAATGAGAGCGCAAGAAGCAAACAATGGGAGTATGGGATCGATGAATGGATTTGGATGGAAGAGAAAGTGAGGGTAATGAATGCGTTGAACTTGAAACACCAAACAAAGCCACAGCTTCTGCCATTGATATTCTTTGCTTATTATTTTGTTATGGTTTACTTTTGGTCCTTTCTTCGTCTAGATTCTAGATTCTTCTGGCGCCGCGGTTTCCGTCTCTGGGTGCCGCTTTGCCCCATTTCAAAGCCAGGAGAGCCCGAGTCCAACCCCCAAGCCCAGCCCAGCCCACGCTAAAAATATCTACTAAAATTTAAAAATATGACTCATTTAATTGTATTTATTTCATTGTTAATTTAATCCTACATGAATTTCACTTATTTTTTAATTTTAATTAAAAAAAATGCAAGAGAAGAATACTTAAAACGTAGCAGTAGACTTAGGAATGGGGTAGTTTGGTAATGACTGGTATTTGTTGACCTCGATTATGTTTTGCATTTTCAAGGATTAAAATGTTTATTTGTTTCGTAAAAAATATCTTCTCATGTACTTATTATTTTTTAGGTAAATGTATTCAATATATATTCTTAAATTTAAATTAATTTATATCTCATGTAAATTAAAAATATATTCAAGAAAATAATATAAGGAATAAGGATTTAGAATAATATTTCAGCGAATAATATCTTTATTGATGTTATTCTGACAAAATCTTTATATTTGGTGGTCAAATAATATATTCAAATAGTTCTTTAGCGGGTGGTCATTTTAGACTTTTAGCCAATTTGCTGAGTTTATTTTTCAGTAGTTTTTATTTCTCCCACATCCCTAAATTTACTTTCAGACTCAGTCATGTTTTATAGCATTTTTTTAATAAAATAGTAAGCAAGAATTTTTTTATTTTTCTAATTTACAAGTTGATTATTTTTACTTCCATATTCCGAAAAGAATATAGCGATATAGATTAGGATAAAGATAAGATAATATTTAAAGAGTTTGATGTTTGTCATTTTAAATGACATAAGTTATGTCATTTTAGGAGAGAGATAGATACAAGAAATGAAAATCATAAGAAAAAAAGTGAGTGCTTTTTTTTTAATTTAAATTTTAAATAAAAAAATATTATTTTGTATCTATCTTTCTTAAAATGACATAATTTTATGTCATTTAAAATGACAAACATTTTTTTCATATTTAAATTACGTAAATGTTTATATTCTTCTTTTTTTTTGTAAATAATGTTTATATTCTTTTGTCTATTAGTTATTTGAATTAAATTTGTATTTATGTTTCTACATATATTTTTGACAGTGATGTTCATCAATCAATCCAAATCAATTCAAACCGCCGTGATAACCCAAAATAGAAAAAAAAACCACATATTTTAATTAGACTGGATTGATTTGCAGTTCGGTGGGTGAAAAATATTCAATCCAAACAGATCAAATGTACTATATATTTATTATTTTTGAAAGATATTGACTTGAAATTTTGTTGTTTTATAGACTTAGTGTCCGTTTGGATGAGCTTTTATCCCTAAAAAAATTGTTTTTTTAAAAAAAAGTCATTTTGAGAATTTTTAGATGTTTGGATTGGATAGCAACTTTTTAAAAAAGCAAAATTCAAAACAAAAGTTAAAATACTGCTTTTTTAAGTCAATAATTGGTTACTTTTGAAAAAAAGCAGAACCTAAAAGATAATATAATTTTTGAAAATATAATTTTTTTTTATTTTTTTTGTAAATAGAAAATATAATTTTAACCTCATCCTATCATACCTATTTTATCTCTCCTTATCTCACTATCCTGCTTTTTTTTTTTTAGTTAAGTCTTTCAATAACTTATCACTTTACAATCAAACATCTTCCTATAACATTGGAGCAGTTTGTGGAAGATCTTTTCTTTTCTTTTATGATATTGCAATCACATTCTCCAAATTTCATTTGTGTAAATCCCAAAAATTTGTTAATTTTTTTTATAGATTCTTTTTGTAATTTTATATAGAAAAAGTATTTTTTTTTATTTTAACATCCAAATAACTTTATTATATAAAAGTGATTTTCAGATCCTACATCCAAACGTAAAATAATTTTACCATTTTAAAAAAAGCAATGCATAAAAAGTACTTTTTTCAAAAAAAGTTTATCTAAATGGGCCCTTAGAATCTTAGATGTTATTGATAACAAACTATCTTATTTTAGTTTTTTATTGTTTAGTAATATATTTTAACTCTTCATGAGTTTTAAAACTTGTTTTAGTTTGAAGACTTGAATTTTCTAGTGGTTTGTAATTTTGTATGACTTTATTTTGATATAACTAGTGATTATATTGCTAAAATTTTAGACTTTTCGAAAAAACGAAAACTGATCCAATCCAATCAAAATTGAATTGGATTGAATTAGATCTAATTTTGAAAAAAAATTCAAATTGAATGGATAATTAAATGATCAAATCAAAAGGATGAAATCAAATAAATTTTGCTTTAAAACCGATCCAATACAAACCGCAATCACCCCTAATCTTTTAATTCATTCACTAAAGTAATCTTGTGTATGATCATAACAACATATAAATATTTCAACACCAACACAATAGGGGGAGGGGAAAACGAAAGTCGAAAGCTCATTTTTCACTCTCTCTAAAGCGGCGGCTGACCTGGTAAGTCTTTCATGACCAACACTTTACGCTTTTTGTTTGATTAAGAGCCCTATTTTGTTTGATAATTTTGTTTTCTGTAACACATATAAAGTAAGTGAATTTTTTTTCCTATTTTTTTTAGTGAGTTACATTTACTTTTGTGTGTGTTTATCTCATGTAAATAAGAAATATATTTCCAAAAATAAAATAAAAAAATGATATTTATGTAAAAGTTGGATTGTATTGTGTAAAAGTTGTTGAGGCCAAACAATAGGTATTTATGTTTCTTGAATTACGGTTTTACTTTCTTTTTGGTAGATGAATTGCTATTTTGAATCCTAAGCATTCAGTTTTATCATTGTATAAAATTGCAAATATTAAGCTAACAAGCCAAAGCTAGGGTTCATTCCTGTGTAGCACATAAATACATGAAGAAAATTATGCTTGTTTTACCCCATTTGCAATGTTAGATAGTATTAGTGTAAATAGGTCACACAATGTGTGTGATGATGATTTTAAGCCCCAGGATACATTTTGTTTTGGAAACAATAAGGAATGAAACAAAACAGAAAGAGAAAACAACAAAAAGGAAGTCACGAGGGGCAAGTTTCGGGGGAAAGCTATTCTTTAATACATTTTACCCCTTTTTTTGGTTTATTTTTTCTCCTATCTTTATTAGTTTGGTGGGTTTCTCGCGAACTGAAAATGTAATATTTAAATAATATTATTTAATTAATGCTTATTTCATTGAGGATATTGTAATAACCAATTAATGTTACTATCAATCAATTACATCGATTATGTTGATACAAATGTTATGTTGATACAAATGTTATATTTATTTTCATCTTTATATGGTTATGATTCTCCATATTTAATGTGAAAACATTAAATACGGGAAATCATAACCATAAAAAGATAAAAATAAATATAAAGTATTAAATATGAGGAATCATAATCATACAAAGATAAAAATAAGTATAATCGTTGGATCAACATAATCGATCTAACGGTGAAATTGATTGATAGTAACACTAATTGGTTGTTACAATATCCTTCCCTGTTTATTGATGATATATTTTTATATTTTATGTTAATAATATTAAATAAAATGCATTTCAATTTCTCTATTACTATGAGATAGCGTAATAGATAGAGATTTAGGCTCGTACATAATGTTTTCTTTTAAAAAAAGTTGTCAAAATGTAATTAAGATGAAGTTAAAAAATTATTATATAAAATAAAAAATAAAAAATATTTATGTCTTCAAAAATTTGAGTTTATATGTTAAAAATAATATAATAACTTTTTTTTATTATATTATGCACCTAAAGTAAAAAAAAATGTGAATGTAAATACGTAGCAATTTATTCTCTTATCTTAATTCTTTGTTATTAGATTAACTTATTTTTGTTTTTTAAATTATCTTATCACTAGTTATTTTATGAGTATTATTAATTTTTTTTTGAAAAGCAAACAGGAAACAGAAAAACAAAAAAAGAAACTAGGAACACCTCCTAGACCAAACTACTCCTACATAGTCCCTTTCAAGTTTGTCACGACAACCAGAAGGAGGCGAGTCAAACTCTTGTAAAGACCAATCAAAGGAGTAGGCAAAAGAGGCCATCCAATCGGCAACCCCATTCCCTTCCCTATGAATATGGGAAATTCTAACCCTCTAATTCCAATCCAGCATATTCCTTATGCGCAAGACCAAGTTAGAGGCTGGATGATGAGAGCTGCACCCTTCTCTTATGAAATACTGGGCTACTAAGGAATCACCTTCAAGCCAGACAAAATGGAAACCTTTCCTCCATGCAATCTCAAGCCCAAGGGGACAACCCCAAAGTTCTGCTAACAAAACATTACCACAACCAAGATTTTTACAAAAGCCAACAAGCCACCTTCCACTAGCATTTCTGAATACACCCCCACAAGCATAAGCTTCTCTATTATTCATACTTGACCCATCCACATTGAGCTTAACCCAAGGGTCCGAAGGAAAAATCCAAGAAACTAATTTCTCTTTATTCGAGTTAGTCTCAAGACCAGCAACCCGAAGCGTGTTAGTATTATTAATTTTTAATTCAACTTCAAATTTTTTTTTTTTTGGAGGTTAACTTCAATTTTTTTTTCTTTATAAAAGTTTAATTCTATAAATTATTAGCTCACTCACTGTATAAAAAAAATAAAAAATAAAAAAATTTCAAATCTCTCTGTTAATATTTAAATATTTACCAATTTCCCTATCTTAAAAGTCATGTCTATCTCCAATCGCTCTTTATCTTTTTAATTTTGTTACTTACCGAATATCATAACAAATAGATAAACAAAACTAAATCATATAATTATCAAATTTTAAATATGAGTTTCTTTAGTATATTTTATGTAAAGTATTTTTTAATACTTTTAACTAATATTACTTTTTAAACATTTTGGCTGTACGGTTTTCGTAAATTAAATTAAATATTTACCAATTTCTCTATCTTAAAAGTCGTCATCTCTATCTCCAATTGCGCTTTATCTTTTTAGTTTTGTTACTTACCAAATATCATAACAAATTGATAAACAAAACTAAATCATATAATTATCAAATTTTAAATGAGTTTCTTTATTATATTTTATGTAAAGTATTTTTTTAATACTTTTAACTAATATTACTTTTTAAACATTTTGGCTGTACGGTTTTCGTAAATTAAATTAAGTATTTACCTACTACATAAAAATTAATAAACATAGATATTTAAAGTATAATGTATGGATAAGATCAACAATTTAGGTTAATGGGAAAAAAAGCAATGACATTAAAATAATGTCATAAACAGCAAATTATCCAATGAAAAAAATCTATAGAAAAATGTTTTTGCATTGAAAAACAAATTCCACATGAAAAAGAAAGAAGACACCCTGGTTTGCCATGGTTTTGCAACGGTATAGTTAATTAAAACATTCTATAAATAGTAGAGAAGCAAACTAAAAAGACTCATTGGCTTAATTTCCTACACCGCATAGGCACAACAGTATTATACACCTTACCTTGGTTTGCGTTTCCATATTATGCTCTTGTTGTGTCCACCTGTTTGTATATAATTACCGATCATTGTTTCAAATCAATTCACCAGCGTCCTTGCTGGGCCCATCACGCAAGAAGAACAGAACAACAATGGCGACGCCTAATGTAACATGCCCAGCACCTATGAAGGCAACGTCCAATGGGGCCTTTCAAGATGAAAACCCACTCGATTATGCGCTGCCATTGTTAATCCTCCAAATATGCGTGGTGGTTGCATTTACCAGAGTTCTTGCATTCCTTTTGAGACCCCTCAAACAACCCAGAGTCATTGCAGAGATCATTGTATGTTTTCTTATTCTTTAGCATTAAATCTTATCATTAAAATATAACATTTTTTTTTTCTTTCAGAAAAGTGCTATTGATATGTTTGTATAACCTATGTAGCACCGATAGACGTGTCAAAGTGGGCGGCCCGTCCCACCCCGCCATCAATCCGCCCAAAAATGAACCAGCTCGCCCCGTCCTGTTTGGTGGGTTGGGCGGGTTGGCCCGCCAGTCCGAACCTATTTTACACTGACCTGCCTATGCCCGCCAACAACCCGCCAAAAAATGAGCCCGCCCCGCTTTTGAGATGGGTTGAAAAACGCAGCCCGCCCCGCCCCGTTTAGCGAGTTAGGCGGGTTAGCCCGCCGAGCCGAGCCCATTTTGCCGGCTCTAAGCACCGATACTGACACGTGACACGATACGACACGACACTCCGACACGTTAATTCTAAAAAATATTAGATTTCGATACGTTAGGACACGCTTTGATATTAAATAATATTTTTAGTTTATGTAGTGAATATTATATTTAATATTCAATAATTTAACAAAAAAATAAAATTGTAATAGTAATCCAACTAATCTAATACTTGGAACTAAAAACTCAACGCAATGTAACCTTTGAACCTTTTTTTGAATTTCTATAACGCGTGTTGAAGTGTCGGAGTGTCGGAGAGTGTCGAACACGACACGTCAGGATTTTTGAAGTGTCGGTGCTTCATAGTGTATAACCATATCTAACATTGATTTTATCATAAAAATCACTTGGACATGGCCTAAGTGATTTAAATTTGTGGATCACATGTCATTGCGGTTGAAAACCATGCATGGCATTTTTATTTTATTTTATTTTAGGAAAAAAAACTATCATTTTAAATGGACACAAGTTGTGTCTTTTTAAATGATTTACACAAAGTATGACGAGTCATACTGTAAATATGAAAAGTTACTTTTTTAAACAACTTTTCATAATTACACAGAGTATGTAAGTCACTAAAAGGACATCACTTATATTCTTTTAAACGACACACAGTAAACCCTTTATTTTATTTTGGGTGTAAGTTCATGTACATGTTATTATGTGAGTTTTTTTTTTATGATTATTGTATGAAAATGTCAAATGCAGGGAGGAATACTACTTGGACCATCTGCAATTGGACGAAGCGAGAAATTCCTGAACACAGTTTTCCCAAAGAAAAGCTTAACTGTACTTGATACACTAGCCAACATTGGTCTTTTGTTCTTCTTGTTTCTAGTGGGTCTTGAGCTTGACATGCGTTCTATCCGTCGTACTGGACATAAGGCCTTAGGAATTGCCCTTTGTGGAATCACTGTTCCTTTTGTTCTTGGCATTGGCACATCTTTGGTTCTTAGAGCAACCATATCCAAAGGTGCTGAGCCAATTCCCTTCCTTGTCTTCATGGGTGTTGCTCTCTCAATCACAGCATTTCCCGTCCTTGCTAGAATCCTAGCTGAGCTTAAACTCCTCACCACTGATGTTGGACGCATTGCAATGTCAGCTGCTGCTGTCAATGATATTGCAGCTTGGATACTTCTTGCTCTTGCTATAGCCTTATCTGGCTCCGACACATCCCCTCTTATTTCTCTATGGGTTTTGCTATGTGGTGCTGCTTTTGTCCTCTTTGCTGTCTTTGCCATTAGGCCATTGCTTGCAGCTATGGCTAGGCGTTCCCCTGAGGGTGAGCCAGTGAAGGAGCTCTACATATGTATCACATTGACACTAGTTTTGGCTTGTGGTTTTGTCACGGATACTATTGGAATTCATGCCCTCTTTGGGGCTTTTGTGGTTGGCATTATTATGCCCAAAGAGGGTCCCTTTGCTGGGGTGTTGATTGAGAAGATAGAAGACCTTGTATCTGGCCTTTTCCTGCCACTCTATTTTGTGTCTAGTGGTTTGAAGACAAATGTAGCAACTATTAGTGGAGGAGTTTCTTGGGCACTGTTAGCACTTGTTATATTCAATGCTTGCTTTGGAAAGATCATTGGCACAGTCGTCATATCATTATTATGCAAGATGCCTTTTAGAGAAGCCCTGGCACTTGGATTTCTCATGAATACCAAGGGCTTGGTAGAGCTCATTGTTCTCAACATTGGAAAGGATCGCAAGGTATATTATATCCTCTCATAATATATAACAAAAACTGGTTTATTTTTTTTATTTTTTTCACAGACTTACATAAAAAACCACTCCCCGTTAAATCTCAATTGGCGAGGGTAAGAGTAAAGGTGAGGGAATTTCTTGTACGCAGCCTTGCCTTTATATATTTACAAAAAAAGACTGTTTTCCGGATTGAAACATGTGACTTTTCAGTCACAAAGTAACAGCTTTTAAGGCTTGCCTTCACATACATACGTTTATGCTCAGCAATCAACAAAAACAATTTTGTTCTTCATTCTTTTTGATAACCAATCATCTTCTTGCAATTCAGGTACTGAATGACCAATCATTTGCCATCTGTGTTCTTATGGCACTGTTTACCACATTCATCACCACCCCAATAGTGATGGCTGTGTATAAACCAGCTCGCAGAGGAGCACCTTACAAGCATAAAACAATTCAGCGCAAAGATCCTGACACAGAGCTCAGAGTGCTAGCATGCTTCCATAGCACCCGCAACATTCCCTCCTTAATCAATCTCATAGAGTCTTCTCGTGGAATCAGAAAGAAAGGAAGACTTTGCATATATGCAATGCACTTGATGGAACTCTCGGAGAGGTCTTCAGCCATCACAATGGTTCACAAGGCACGCAACAATGGCTTACCCTTCTGGAGCAAAAAACAAGATGACCAAGATCAAATGGTGATTGCTTTCGAGGCTTATGGTAAACTGATTAGTGTCAATGTACGCCCTATGACAGCAATCTCTGCTCTCAGCAACATCCATGAAGATATTTGTACTAGTGCTCATCAAAAGCGTGCAGCCATGATTATCCTCCCATTCCACAAACACCAGCGTGTTGATGGAACTATGGAGTCACTAGGACACTCATTCCATGTAATGAATGAGCTTGTGCTAAGCCATGCTCCTTGCTCAGTGGGAATTTTGGTTGATCGTGGTCTTGGAGGTACAAGCCAAGTCCAAGCTAGTGATGTTTCCTATAAGGTAGTTGTACCCTTCTTTGGAGGACGTGATGATCGTGAAGCACTTTCTTATGGTATGAGAGTAGCTGAACACCCAGGGATTTTGCTCACTGTGGTTAAGTTCATAGCTCCACCTGGGAAGACATTGGCCTTTGGTGCTAAATTGGTTGCAGTAGCATCAAACAAGGACAAGAAAGTAATAGTGGATGAGATAACTGGTAGTAACATTGATGAAAAAGAACAGGATGATCAATTGTGGAGTGAGTTCTTAAGTGCAAGAAGCAACAATGAAGAGTCAGTTAAGTATGAGGAAAGGTTGGTGGAAAGCAATAATGATATAATGACAGCATTGAAGGAAATGAATAAGAGCACTCTAATATTGGTTGGTAGAATGCCAGCAGTAGCACCTTTGGTTAGCAAAAGTGATTGCCCAGAGCTTGGACCTGTTGGAAGCTATTTGGCTTCTTCAGATTTCTCAACAACAACATCAGTTATGGTAATTCAGCAATATAATCCAACAACTGATATTCATCCGCTAGTCATGGAGGTATCTGATTTCCAAGATATGCCAGACACACCCAGGTTTTAGTTAATCATGTCGCCTCAGAGCACCACCTATCATGTATCTATTTCCTATGGACTATATAACATAACCAAGTTGGGTGCTCATAATGGAGACTTTTATTGATTCACCTGGAATTTAATAAAAGAAAATTATTTCCATCTGATCAGTTTTGTCTATTTCACTGTATTAATTACAAATAGTTAATACTCCGTGCAATATATGATTTTTTTTTATTTTTTTTGGAAAAAAAATTAATTTGTGTTTAAATTTAAACTATTTTTTAAAGATTTAATATTTATCACTTAAATTGATAAGTCTTGTCAATTTTGAATTATTGAAGTAACATCATTTTCGCAATATACAAACGAAATTACGAAAATATTTCTCTCATGATAAGTACGACCAAATTATTTATGTGTGGTTTATAATAACCGAATAGAATGTTTATATTATTTACTAGACCAAAAGTTTATCTGACAACAATGTTACACTCTGTTTATAATAATTGTGTTTGTGATAAATAAAATATGTCAAATGAGATGTCATTGCGTAGATCTCGAAAAGTTATGTGGAATCAAAAAAAGAATTACCTGATTTGGATACCCGAGTCAAAAGTTAAGGCTTTCAGAAGTTTTATGATTAAATTAATTTTTTTTTGAAAAAAAATATGACACGTGTCAACACCAGATAAAAGACGCCCCATTAGGGCGTCTTCCCCTAAGGTGAGACGCCTCACTGGTGCGTCACATGTGACGCCCATTTTGGGCATCACACTGTGCAATAAATTCGTAATTATTCTCGAAACTACAATAAATGCGTAATTATTTAATTAAAATACATTAAATTAATTTTTTTTACCGACAACAATGTTACACTCTGTTTATTAATAATTTCAACTAATAGTTTTTTTTTTTTTTGAATGCTTAATTATCAACAGAATGTGACGACAGAAAGAGTTTAAGTAACAGTGATTAGCTAGATTGTCACGTTTTTTTTAGATTTTTACCAATATGTCATGAACGGTATTTTTTATCAGATTGTGAGTGTCCTAGTTTGTTAAGATTGGTAACAAATTTGGTAGTCAATAATTTTATAACATATAACACATTTTTTCAGGAAAAACTGATTTGACTAAATTCACTAGAGGGATAGCAAACTTTGTACGCCATGTGGCATAACCCAATTGCTTACTCTCTCTTTTTTTTTTTTTGGATAACGTTGCTTTCTCTTTCAAGAACATAATTCTTTTCCTTCAGTATGTTTGGAATTATTATTTTAGAAATTGATTTATTTAATTAAATTATTTATTTATAAACTTATAAAATAGATATTGATTTAGTTATAAATAAATTTATTTACTTATAAAGTTATAAAATTGATTTAGAATTTTTTTTATTTTTAATTAATTTTTCTTTTTCTTTTTTGTTAATATTTTATTTCATTTGTGTACAAATAAAAAATTACATAAATTTAATTGAATATGAATAGATTTTATTTTATTTTAGTTTCAATAATTGAAATTGACATTTTTGCCTCTATCAATTAAGTCATAAACTATTTTAAGCAAGGATAATAAAGGTAATTATTCATTAAAATTAATTCAGTTACTTTTTTAATTTTTCCAAACAATGAAACTAATTTATAAATGAAATCAAATCCTATTTTTCTATAATGAGTTCTAAATATGAAAAAATATTTTAAAATAAAATAAATAAATTTAGCTCAAATTATATCATTTCTAATTTTTAATGATTCCTGAATACAAAAAAAAAAACTGCAACAATATTCAAATATTACAAAGATCAGTCTTAATACTTGGCGAATATACGAAAGATTAGTCTTAAAGAGTATTACAAAGGGTAAAGTCTCCTTCGGAAGTTACGAGTTATGTGTTGAATTAAATTAATGCATTTTTTTCTTTTTTTTCTCTGTCGCACATCCATCTTAACGACTGATTCATACCGTAATAATTAATTAATATGCTAATACGGCATACTTACACGTTACATGCACATCAAAACCAATGCCTGAACCTTGTCACGTAGCATTTTCTATATACACTAAGACAAGATTTGTTCCTCTTGTTCAAGTGTTTATGTATTGCTTCAAATCCTGTTGAAAACAGAACAACAAAAATGGAAGCACATATGGGATGTTTAGCGAAGATAACTCACCTCGTGACCCTGCTGCTGGTGATAGGATTGTGCACCCGTGTTGTTGCAGGCACCAAACATGTAAGCATCAAGAACCAACTAGGATCTGGGAAGAACATGACGTTACATTGCCAATCCAAAGATAATGATCTGGGCACGCAGAACATACAAGATGGGGATGAATTTGGATGGGACTTCAATGACAATATTATTGAAACCACACTATTTTTCTGTGATTTGGAATGGGAAAAAGTTCAGGAATACCATTTTGATGCGTATTCTTTTGCCAGGGATCACGTGCGATGTGATACTGGATGTTCATGGCTAGTTTCGGCTGAAGGCATTTATGGCTTAAATGAACAAACCGGATACTGGGAATTCATATACAATTGGCCAAACTGAGTGATTTCCAGAAATTCAATGTTGAATATCAATCCTAAGACTATATGTATCCTATGACAATAATAATGAGCTAGTTTCAGTCTCTTCTCGTATTTGCTTCTTATATATATATATATATTGTGAATCAAATGAAAATACAGCAATCGTTTTAGCATTTGCGTTGAGAAAGCACATCGACATTAGAAGCAATCGTTGCATGTTCTTTAAGTGTCCATTGCCAAGAAAGCCGTATCTAATAGTGGTGAGGTTGGCAATTAAATCTTCCCTTCAACTACAACAGATGTAGCTGACCTTCACGTCGGAACATATATATGTATATAAAGACTCAAAGAACCTAAGAAGTCCTTCCTTCTCCATGGTTTTTATTGCTACAATCTGAAGATAAAAAACCATATTGAAGAAAAACCTTTTAGTCGATGGGTATTGAGTGAGGGACACAATTTGAAAATAAAAATTACACAGTTCATTAGTGGACATGCCGTTATTTTAATATATATATATATATATATTTTTCGTTGGGAACATGTGCATGTCTCTGGGCCATCCAGAGGGCAGTAAACGATATGTTTTACCGAAGTGTATACTATTTGTCCCTTGCTATAGAGATTTCCAGTGATTGCTAATTTCTTTCCCTGGATTTCTGTACAATTTTATGCATCGTTAAGGAAACATTACGTTACGACCTTCAATTGAAATTTTCACACATTTGGGAACAGAGGCAAAGTATTTTCAGTGTTACACAGCATCGATCGTGGCAGCAATTAGAAATAACTATTGTTTATTCAGAGTAGTCATTCAATTCGTTTTGATTACTCATTTTAAGCTGGTAGTTATTCCTTGTGAATTCATCACCACAAGTGAGTGATTATTCGTTATGCTCAAAAGTTCTTTGACTACTTTACAAACGGTATCCTCGCCAGTCGCCACCATTGGAAAAAATTGAAGCATAAAGCCCTCCATCCTTTGAAGAAGGGACCTCAATCGGCATAGGTTGATGGCAAATGGTAACCCGCTGAGCATGGGTCAGATAGTTTAAGTTTTCATATTCAAATACAGGTGCAGGCCTTCTGATATTTGAATCCAAATCTGAATCCCCAACTGAATTCCCCTCTCAATCCCCAAAGCCATATATATACTAAGAGCATAACTAGATCATGGAATTCACCAAAAATAAAAGAAAACATGAGTTTAAAACAATTAAACAAACTGTTCGGAAGGAAGATTAGCAAACCATCCCTCATTCCTTTGCTCATTTACTGTTAAGGTAGCACCCACACAAGCTCTCCACATTATGTTAACCCACACAACATGAATGGACTTTAAAAGAAATTTTGACAAGCAAAAATAATAATTGAATGAAAACATCCATTGTTTGGTGTGCCCAAATGATGTAATGTAACTTGGTAAATTGATATAACTTGCTGCAGTATCAGCCATGAATGGCAAGTGAGCACTGAGGTCACTTCTCTTTGGATAGTACAAAGAAACAAACGGTTATGGTTCTACAACATATGAACATACTTATCTCCTAAACAAAATGATGTAACATGCTTGAAAATTTCCATATCCAGTACGTGTTATTTGCCAGAGGCTGTGAAATACAAAACCATCATCTACCAAACCTGTCAATTCTCCGGCGACGCAATTCATCCAAAGGAAGACCATCAGAATCACGGTTCCATTGAAAAGAAGATAATCCAACCCCATCCCTACTTGTACCACACATCTCACACACACTTAACAAACCAGAATTGTCATATGTGCAAGCCTGGCATCTCCACACACCAGACTGAGTACTTCTCCTTCCTGTCCGGCTACCACCAACAGTTCCCCTACCAGAGATCCTTCCCCGGCTTCGCCGAAACACACTGTATAAAAAATTGAGAGGCCAGTTCAATGCACCAGTAAGACCTCTCATGAGAAAAGCTAGCGGGTCTGGACCTGAATAATTGCCCCTCAACCTAAGATAAACAAGGCCAGCAAATATGCCACCAAGATGACCAATGAATGAGACACCAGGTACAAACATTTGGATCAGAACCAATTCAGCCCAAGCAGCATAACGCGATGGCACTAACACCCCATGTACATAACTATAATTCTCCGATCGAGAATTAAGAACAACTTTCAAGGCAAACAAGACACCAGAGAAACCAACAGCGTATTCATTGTAGTATGCTCTCTCATATTCGAAAAACAGAAGCAGTGATTTGGATAGCATTAGAGTAAAACCCTGAGATAAAGCAAGTAAAGAAGCAACCATGGAAGCAAATTCGAGACTTCCCATTGCAGTTTCCAATTGAAACCCTTTCCATAGAAGGGATAACATGTTGTAAACCAGGTGAGGTTCTCCAATATGGTAGAACGGAGACAAGAAGAATCGCTTCAGGTCCTTGTTCTGAAAGAAAGTAGAGAATGAGAAAACCTAATGAAACCTAATAAACAAAGAAACAAAGAAAAAAAGAGGAATTGAAGAAGAAGATACCTTGAGGATGAGGTGGGGATTGAACCAGACCTCATCAATAGAAGGAATGATGGAATTCAATAAGGATGGTCTGATATAAATGAGAGTGTTGGCGGCAATTAGAGCGGCGGTGACAGGGGGTTTCCGATCGGATCTGTAATACTCGCTGAAGGTGTGAAGAGCAAGCAGAGGCAGCATTCCTCGAGAAACCCTTCTCCCATTTCTCACTTCCATTTTCGTTCAATTCTCTAATTTCCAATTTCCGATTACAAATCGAATTGCTAGAAAGATTAGATAGATAGATAGATAGATAGATAGATAGATAGATAACCACGCCTTCGCCTTCGCCGCTAAGTAACGTATATTCTAGATTTGCCGTTGCGCAACGAAAGTTCCAGACTTTTCTCTGCGCTGCGGTGGTGTTCCGTCTTCCACCAAAGGGCCAACACGTAATTACACAAATCTCAAACCATGCATAATTTTCCTCTCTCTCTTCTAACAATATTCGTACTCTTACTTTTTTACACTGCGAAATGCGAATCCATTACCTCTTTTTTGAGACTGCAAATTATCTCTCGAATTATTATTGGATTAATTATTTTTTTTTAAAATAATTTTGAAAAAAATAATAATTTTAATATTATAACTATATATTTTTTAAAATATATAATTATAATGGATAACAATAAATAATAGTAAAAAAATATAATATGAATATCTTATCTCTCTAACTTATCACAATTTTTTTACTAATTAAAAACTATTAATACTTATTAAAAATCCTATTAAAGGAGCGTATCATGGGTAGAGATGTGCATGGGTCGAACCGAATCAAATTTTTTGAAAAAGAACCGAATTGGTTTAAATGGTTCAGTTCGGCTGTAAACGGTTCGATTCGGTACGGAATCGGTTCGGGTCGACCTATTTTGAAAAGAAAAAAATTTAAAAATTTAAAAATTAAAGTTAGAAAAATCAATTTAATTCGGTTTGAAAACAGTTTGGTTCGGTTCTTAAACTGGTTTTAAAAATCGGTTTGGTTCATGAACTGGTTCTTTAAAAATCGGTTCGGTTCATGAACTGATTTTTAAAAATCAATTATTTTAAGGGCAGTTCGATTCGGTTCATGGTTCGGTTCAGTTTTTTGGTTATTTTACACACTCCTAAACATTCGTGTATATACATCACTTCAACTTATGTTTTTTTTTTGTCATATTTATAAGTAACAAAATATAATGATAACTCGTGTTCTGATGGAGTGAATATTCTGATGCTGTAGTCAATATTTGATTAATGAGTTTGCTTATATTGAGGAAAAGATAAACTTCTCATTTCATAATATGCAACATGACTTACTTGTTGATTCATCATGTTACCTTAGTATGGCAGCATGAATGACATGTCTCCTTATTGATTGGTTTAAGTGATTTTTCTAGTCTACCTTTCATGTGAAATGTTTTTTAGTGGGTTATGTTGCCTAAGCTTAGCTAGAAACTCGTTCTTGTTTTTTAGTCATTCGCTATTGAGGAGGTTTCACCAATGATATGGTGTTGGAAATTTAGTTATATACTTTATGGGACTATGGAATTACGTGTACGTGTTTATAATATATTTACTTATAGATGAATTTTTTACTTTGTGCCTTTTATCTCGTAATAGGTTGTTATTTTTATTTTATTTTCATCTCATCTAGTATAGGTTGGGATCATATTGAGGGTTATTGGAGAGGAAAAACTCATGGAAAATAATGAACCAGTTGTATGACAAAGAGATAATTCTTTTAATGATGGATATATTAGTCCCAGACAACTTGTGCAAACAGTTTATGCCTGAACTCTATTATGTTGATTCAAGGGCAGATCTGCATGGAGTTAGGGTGGCCCCTGCCCCCTTAAATTTTGAAGAAAAAAAATTACATTATTTGTCTGATAGTTGGATACTCTTAAGATGTTTTTTACACACCGCCGAAAATAAAGACCTAGGGTGTGTATGATAACTTTCCCGGAATCAATTCTTTTTTAATTTCTGTTCCTGAGAACAGAAATGAATAAGAAACTTGTTTGGTAAAATCGATTTATTTTTTTGTTCCTAGGATGAACCGGTTTAATTTTTGTGCTAGGAACAGAAAAAAGAATTAAAAAATTTCTGTTTTTTTGTTCCCAGACACAAAATGAGAAACACTTATCTCTCTCAATCACTCTTCACCTCTACCATCATCACCACCACCACCACCATCATCCCGACACGACTGTCGCCACCGTCGTTGCCGCCGTCATCGTACCACTAGTGTCGTCGTCACCACCCCTCACCACCACGATGCCACTTTTACCACCACCTCCACTCATCACTACCACCATGTCACCGTCACCACCATCACAACTACCACCGCTGCCACCACCACAACCGCTATCATCGTCACTGTCATCGTCACCACTACCGCCATCAACCACCACCATCATCATCGCAATCATTGTCGTCACCGCCATCATCGCCATCACACGCCACTGCCACCACCACCACCACGACGCCACCACTACCATCACAACTAATGTCACCAACCACCACTACCATTGCCGCAGCCACTATTATCACCACCACTGCCATCGCCGTCGTCGTCGTCGTCGTCGCCGCCACCAACCACCACCATCATCGTCACAGCCATTATCGTCATCACCACCACCATCGCCACCATTACACCACCCCCGTTACTACCATCACCACGCCATCGCCACCATCACCACCGCCGCAGCCACTGCCACCACCACCACCACCACCGTGATGCCTTCACAACCACCACAACCATGTCACTGCTACCATTGTTGTCGCCACCAACCACCATACCCACCACCATTGTCGCAGCCACTATCGTCACCTCCACCACCACCACCATCCCCGCCGCCGCCACCACCATTACCATCGCCATCGTCGCAGCAATTGCTGTCACAACCACTACCACTATCTTCACCATGTCACTGCCACCACCACTACCGTACCGCCACCGCCACCACCATCATGCCACCCACCGCCGCCACCACCACCACCACACCATATAGAAAGGAAAGTGATGATTCAAAATTTTTTTATATTTAATAGGAATTATTTTTATTATATTATTTGTTGTGTTATCAAACACAATTCTCATTCTCAGAATAAAAGTAGAACATATTATCAAACACATTTTTTTCTCAGAAACTGTTCCAAGGCGTAGAAATAGAAAAGAATTGTTTCTTTTCATAAACAGTGCTGGGGAGTAAAATGGTTGTCATGCACACTCCTACCAATATAACACCAATCCATAAGCCACCATCCCACACAAAACCTAAAAGCCAAAAATAGAATACAAAATAAAACCCAGTCCACAACACACCCCTGAAACTATTCACAAAACTTACAAAAACTCTAAAGCAAACAGCTTCAACCCAAATCTCCAATGTATAGCCCCTCCCTTCACCTAAATCAGAGTTAGATTAGATTTGATCTCAGTTTTTGTTGTTATTGGGCTGAAGTTTTATTCATTGATTGGGCTTAAATTGTTTGGTTTCTCTTGTGGGATTAAACAGAAGCAATTGTTTGACTTTGTTTTCATTTCTAGAAACAACTGTTAACTTTGTTTTCATTTCTAGAATTTAGTTTATGAACTTTCAATATATATATTTAGGGGTTTGCATTTGTCATTTGACATGACACAACAAACTTTCTTACACACACAACATTTTGTGGGACCCACACTTTTTGAAGAAAAAAGAAAAAAAGAAAATTACGGCACGCAAAACAAATCTCTATAACATTACACCAGTGTTTTAAAACCCGGCTCGGACCGGCCGGGTCGACCCGGGACTCGGTGACCCGGTGAGTTCCCCGGTCCGAGCGAGTAGTTGGACCGTTTCTGCAGTCAACCCGGATTGGACCGGTTGACCCTGCCAAAAGTTGGCGACCCGGTGACCCGGGTTAGACCAGTTATTCTTTTTTTTTTTTTGGTAAATTTTTTTGTTGTTGATAAGAAATCTTGAATTAAATCATATTCATATTTTATGATGAGTATGATTAAAAGTAAGGTGAACATAATAAGGTATTTTAGATTAGTGCAGTTTGTTTATGTAATTTAGTTGCATCTTATAATAATCTCATGAAGTTAAGTGGTGATAAACACTGATGGTCTCATGATCTCATCTCAACGGTGGACACTTTTTGTGTATATTTCATGCATACTATTTGTTATCTTGGTAACGGTGACACTTTTTTCTTTTTTTCTTTTTGGAGTTACCCAACCCTAATTGGTGACACTTTTTTCTTAGTGTATATTTCATGCATACTATTTGTTATCATGATTTAATTTATATGGATCATGTCAAGCACAAAAGGTGCATTTAACTTATATTGCAATTTTAATCCAATATTAGGATATGGTCTAGAGCTAGAAGCTTAGAAGTATATAATATTTGCTATCATTGAAAATCAATTTATTTTTTGAAGCTCATTGATAATTTTCTTATGTGAATTTTTATTAAAATAAGTAGTATTTTTATATTTTTAATATGTGAACAGTAAATCCGGTTCAACCCGATTGAACCCGGTTGAACCAGTGACCCAGTACCTCGACCGGTTCGATGATCGGTCCGAGTTTTAAAACACTGCATTACATAATCACTTTTCCTACAAGATAACTCTTATAAAACCCATATATTTAACCATTGAATACTCTGTTTTCATGTTCATTGAATGCTTTTATAATTAACCGAATATATAATTCTAATAACTTAGTGAAGGAAACTCTAAAATATTTATCTTCTTTTTTGTAACATATTCATTTCTTTATCACTATTAGGCTTAAACAAAAAGGATAATTATGATTTACAAAAAAAAAAAAAAAAAAAGGATAATTATGTGTCATATGAAATCTATTTAATGCAACGCAAGTAAGATTCTATGTAATAGAAAATCTATTTATTTTTGCCCCCCATCACCCAAAATTATTGGGTCCGCCTCTAATTGATTGCTCATACATACAAAGACTCTTCTTTGACCGTCGTTTAAAATTTTTGAATTATTCATTGACAAATGAATGATTATAATTTTAATGATAAAATTAGAAGAGTGAACTGAAGAATAAAAAAGGGTCTACTTTTAACCTACCAATGATTAATTGAGATTTTTTTTTTTTTTTTTTTTTTTTTGTAAATTGAGATTTTTTATATAATACGATTTATTAAAATAACCTTGTGTCTAACTTATACCCGACCATGGAGTAATAAAATGTACATGCATTCACTCTTAATTGGTATATCTGAACTGCATTATTCACCCCCTTTAATCTGTCTTCCTTTTCTCATAAATGGAATATGTAAAAAGAAAGTATACAAATTCAAGATTGAAAATAATAATACTGTTTGCTAAATTCCCAAATGCGATAATGTTTGATTTATTTGATATAGCCTAATAAAGTTAAGATTTTAATTTATATACATAACAACAATAGCACCAGTGGTCTAGTGGTAGAATAGTACCCTGCCACGGTACAGACCCGGGTTCGATTCCCGGCTGGTGCATTTCTTTTATTTTTGCTTCACTTTGCCTTTTTAGGAAATATTTGTTGTGCTTATTTATTTATTTTTTCCTAAAAACAATTTGGCACAGTAATGAGACCAGACTTCGACTATGCAGCTTCAGCAAATCCTATTCGGAGATTCCCATAGTCAAAAACCGTGTGATATGCCCCCAAGAAAATATCTCCGAGAACCCTGCAACCATACTACAATTGTCATACACTATATAAAGATTTAAAAATAATGTTAATAACAACATGCAGCAGTCTCATTTCTGCAGTGAATAAGTGCACAGATTTAATTGACACTTATCCAAGAACGATATTTTAACTATATGATAATGATTCATTACCAGAGGGGACCCTGTGGAGGAGGAACATCTAGAGCAACAAAACCGCCATAGCAGACAGTAGAGCAGCCTTCTTCAACTCTTAGGATATACTGTGAAAATAAATGCGATATTAAATGTCTGATATATTAAGTACTATTAAGCATTAACTTGCAACAACCAACCGAAACTTTGCTACATTTAGTTGTCAAACATTTTTATGGGCATGAATAATGAATAAATGAAACTTAAAACTTTAGGTAGAAAGCTTATACAAATACATTAAGCATGCTCATTTTTTTAGTGCCAAGACACTAATGTAAAAATAAAAGAGAACTCATATTCATGTAACAAATGAGGACTACAAAAATTGATTATAAAACTCATACCTGTTCTGGAGAGAGAGGAAATGATTTGTTTCCAATAGTGAATGTAATTTGTGGCATAGCTGCAATACTATTACAGTTTATAAATGATGGTCCCACGGGATTGGGAAGCCTCTCACACAGCTTTTACAGAAGGATAAAGAAAAAGCTTGTAAGTCCCTTAATTGAAAACATCAGGGTTATTGAAAACTCAACTCAAAGTAAATAGGACGTATAATTCTGAGATGTAATCTATTGTGCAACAAATACCTCATCTACATATTTCAATATTTTTTCCTTTGAATTCCTTTGCTTAAGTTGAACTTGAATCCAAAAGACAATCATATCACAAAAAGTACACAAGGGGCTCTCTCTGGTTCGTGACTCGCCCCGACTTTCATTATGTACCACTGTTTCAATAACATCACTGCAGGTTAAAGTAAGACTTTTGTTAAAGAGAACTCAAAAAAAAGAGAACTCAAACGAAGGAATATGTCTGTAAAGAATCAAATTGAGGATAATGAAAAATACTGTACTTATGTGATCTATTACGTGAGCAGAATCCAATGTCAACGCATATAATTTCAGGTCTTAACTGAAGACACAATAAGATATGTAAAGGATGGTTAAAATTCCAGTAAAGATTTGGATAATCACTGTGAGTATAAGGGAGGAAAGGATAAAGAACAAACCCCAGAAGTTAAGAATTCCCATATCGAATTGCCATAGTTATGGATGATGTTTTTACATTCAAAACTCACATATCCGTCTGCTCCAATGGCATGGTTAATTTGTGTCACTACACTCTGCAAACAATAACCATAAAGAAAAAAGACACCACATGAAAAGGGAACCAAAAAAAGCACACCAAGACAGAAGTATAATGTTTGAGATCATACTGTTGGACCAGCAATCAAAGATGTCCCTGAGTCAATAATGGCAGCACAGCCACCCTCACATAGGCCTGTAAATACAAATTTTATATTGTAAGTCAGGTCTATGGAAATGGAACTGAATTAGTATCAAGTTCAATGGAAAATCAACAACTGATGAGAAAATCCCTTAGTTTATACAAAGTCTGTCAAATTTGGATTTCTTTTCTGGAGGAAGTAGCAATTGCAACTTCCTGATATTATGGAATCTTTAACAATTTTAATCTCTACATACATCGCACACACTCAAAACCATAAGAAACAATGAAAGATTGAAAGTACAAGGCATATAGATGAAACATCAAGTAGAATAGAAATGCAAGAGAACCTGTTGAATTGTTTGACAGTAGAACATCTCCCACCTCAATCTGCAGATGAAAACACCAAAATTCAATATGGTTGATGATAAAAGCTACACAGAAGCGAATGAGTTGTAAATATAATAGACCTGCCAATAACCCTTTTGAGAAAGTGGAACATAAGTGTGGTCACCCCTAAAGTGCCTCCAGTCAATACCACCAAAGACAATCTCACCCCCTGTCTTTGCCATTGGATCTTGGTTTAGCCAAAGAGAGAAGATCTTTTGACCCACGTGCCCTTGTTTTATCATATTATACCTGTATTCACAGTACTAATCACTGTATTTGAGGCATCCAAATTTTTAAAAAAAGGGAAGAGTATGATTTTTCTTCTACCCTATTACCACCAAAGACAACCACAGCACTAAGCATGCGCCCTTGTTCACTCATTATTAAAGGGAAAAATTAAGACCAGGTATATCAAGGTAAGTAAACAAAAAGGGATTAATAAGGTTCGGATTATGTGCAAAGGTACCACACTGGTGTGACTTGTCCAACTGAAGTATCCTGGAATCCAAGTCCAAGTATCCCATCAAAATGCAGAGCTAAAAATGCCAAAGACCTCTCCTTTGTAATCTCAGCAAATTCCTGGAGGATGGGGAAGTAACTAGCCATCAGTACAACAAAAAGTACAAGCATGTTTGAAGCATATAGAACTCAATCAATCACAATACTGATTAAAAAGTAAAAGAGTCAAAATACTGACTTGATCTTTGATGATGATATCCCCAACTTTTAAATTATCTTGGCTGAAGAAGCCAGAAATGTGTCCACGGCCATAAGGGATTTTGCAAGGTGTTCCTGGACATTTTCCAAACAGAAACTTTTGAGTATGAGTTTTACAACAAACATAATTTTACCACAAACAATGTTCACTTTGTACATGTAAAGCCAAACTGAAGAACTTCATAATAATTGTCATGCTAATCCAAAGTACCTATTTTCATGTAGGTGCTAGATAGCTTCGACCTATACTTGGAATGGAAAAAGCAAGCAATCTGCATGTAGTCGTATCTTGTTTTCAAAATAAGCTCAACCAAAGAAAATAACATTGATGGAGTATTCAATTGCATTAGATCATTGGGTATAACTTACAGAGGAGATGCATTTGGAAGACGGGACCCAAAGATTCGAGCTTCCAGTGTCAAACACGACTTTGAAGCTTTGTGGAGGTGATCCTATACCAATTTCTCCATAATATTGTGCGTCAAGATAATTCTTTAGATACACTACACCTGCTTTTAAATGATTCCTATTAACACTCCCTAAAAGTTTGGGATGAGCAGCCTCCTTGATCCTTGCAGAATTAACACTGTGAATGTCCAAATTCTTCCTTTTTAAAATAACCCTCATTAACCCATCATTAGAAGTAGTAAAAGCCAAGGAGGATCCAATCCAAGCCCACAGATACATCACAACCAGCAAATACTTGAAACCCATAATTTACGAGTCATCTGGTTCAAGTTCAATATGTTAAAGTCAGTTTCAGCAGAAGCAATATCAAAGAGGCTGATTAATCACAAACAACCATAACACGCGTACGTTTTCAGTTCTACAAATGAAGCAGAAAAAAAGAGCCTTATTCTTGTCATTTTAACTAGCAACAGTAGTAAAATGCAAAAGAGTTTCAAAACAATTTAACCAAGACTGAATCTGATATCCAATATTAGAGATAAACTTGAAAAACTAATACCTGATAATGACGACTCTTAAAGCAGGGCTTTTGAGAAAGAGTTACGTTAGTGCAGGCACAGAACTACAACACAAAGGTGTAACATATGCCTTTCATATATAAATATAACCAAGATACGGTTCCTTCCCACCTAATAACTACTGGGTAAGAAGTATGAAAAATTTACCACCCCTTTCCCTAGAAAATGCTAAGCTTGCCCCCTTCTATTCTTTCAATTTTGGTGCTGCAAAGGAACAACTTACACTTGCATGGGAAACTGCTGCGTAGTTTCGCGTAGGATAATGCAATCTCTCGTACAATAAACGAGGTAGCTTTTAAGAACTTTGCAGCATACAATATAAGAACAGAGAGACCTTCAATCAAAGTAGAGACACTATTTTGAATGCTCTCCCACTTACGTATGAGACTATGAGTACGGCTAACGACGTTGTCAGAAGGTTACTGAGTCCATTCTTGTTTAATGTTTATTAGAAACTGTAAAGATTATAAGCTCGCTTTTGGGGTGATGTATCCCAAGTTCTTTATATGATATTAGAGCCTCGTCCTTCCCTACTTGTGATTGTTTGAGCAATGTGGCCTTTATAAAATTTTGGGCACTCCCACTTTTGAGCTAGTTTTAGAGTGGTGTATCTCAAACTATGCTCGTCAAAAACTTATAGTTGCCCGTAAATGCTAAAATAATTCTTAACTTTTATTATAGTAAATGAATTGGCTTAAAGATATCTTTGCAAGCCGCTTGGGAAAAATTATAGTTATTATTATTTTTTCTTATTATCCCTTATACTCTTACAATTAATTTTGTTATCGTAATCAAAATTAAAGAAGGAGTGATAAGAAAAAATAGTGATAAATATAATCCTTCATTCTTTGCACTAGTTAAAGAATTGGTGAAATGAAATAGAAATAGATGAAGGGATATAGAATGAAATAAAATAATGATACTGGAGTTTATTTAATAATAAATAGAGTAAAAATTTAATCCTATTACTTGAGAAATAAACTAAGATTAAGTAAATAATGAATTAGACAATAGTATATCTCATCTCATTTTAAGTAACTTAAATAAGATTAATTAATGTCATTTCATTTTATTCATATAAACATAGACCGGGTAAATTCAAAATAATAGAAATATATTATTCTATCTATCTTTTTTTTTTCTGTCTATCTTTATCTATCACTCTTTAACATCATTAGATCAGAATCTGAATAGGAGAGAGAAATGATAAAAATAGTTGATATTCTGATCTAATGATGTTGGGGAGTTATAGATAAAGGTAAGCAGAAAAAGAGATAAGTATAATAACTTATCTCATATATATATATATATATATATATATATGGGTTTATCATCTATCATTTAACATGACCACAAAAAGTTTCCTACACACACAACATTTTGTGGGACCCGCAGCAAAAAAAAAAACCTTCGGCACGCAAAACGAATCTCTATAACATAACACAATCACTTTTCCTACAACATAACTCTTATAAAACCCTATATATATATATATATATATATATATATATATATATATGTATATGTATATGTATATAATTTTTCTAAAATAAGTTTATTTATGAAATGAGTAAACAACATATTACATATTGCCAACGAGAGTGTTGGTTATAATGGTTAAAAGTAATTATTTGAACCTGAAGGTTGAAATTGCGGAAATAATGTACATATATAAAAAGGGGCATGGCGTATCATAAGCATGTATGGTGGCTTAAATTATATTATTTATTTTAAATAAAATAGTATAAAATTAGTATTTAAATAATAAAATAATATTATTCTAATATTTTTTAACTCTTGATAGGTGTGGAATGCCTACTTAAATAAGTTAAAAGGCTAGGTCATTCCTTTTATTTTTTTTAAATAAATCATGTTTATAATTTAGTTTGCATTAGACTAAGGATAAGGGTATAAATGTGTTAGGCAACCTTAAAAAAATACTTATTTAGAAAGAAAATCATAAGCTTTTTAAAAAAAAAATTGATGTAACGCTTTCTATAACTAGCTAGCATAAATAATATCACATTATTTCTTAAATAATATCATAAATGAAAGAATAAAAAATATAAAAGAATAAAAGGATATAAGATTCTAAAGTCAACGGTTATAAAGAAGACATATGACAAAACACCTTTAAAATTAATTATACATTAGACATGAAGTCGAGCTCACTAATACATCTAGATTAGATTACATCAACAAGAATAGTAAGCATCTATACTATATGAGACTCATAAATAGGTGTATTGATTAAGTCTTATTTAGTTCACTCTATTTACAAAAGTTTCTATTTTGTCATGGTAGAAAATAACACTCACTCATTTTTCACCAAACATGATATAAAACTTTGTACGATCCTCATAAAAGTAGACAAATAATCCCCACCCATTACCCGTCAAACATAGAGTATGCATGTTTACTTTTGGAAATATTAGCATAAATATAAGCACACTTGAGATAAATCTCAGTAATATTGAAGTTTTCAAATTATAACTAATCCAGCCACGCGCTACAACGAAAAATATCATTCTCTCAAAGCATGTTTATGATAAGAAAATCTTTAAGAAAATAATATCTAGAATAATAAATATAGAAAAGAATGTGTAATATTTACCTGGAACTACTAAAGCTTAGCCTCTAAAGGTATCTGAATGTGAAATGTTACTAAGTGATCGAGCTCAAAGCCAAATAAGATATCATCCCTTACAATATTACCGTCTAAACCCGAACTTCCTTGGGTCAGTTACATCAAAATTATTCAGTTAAAAATTACATATTCTTTTAATATATATTGATTTAGTATTACATGAATATAAATACAAATCAATTAGTTCCATGGTCTTGATTCATTATCATTCTTATAACTATATGAGCATATTCATCAAATTCATAAAATCAAAGTTTAGAAGATAAAACCAAATGGTAGAAGATAAGACCAAGGTATAGAAGAAATCTATAATAAAATGGTTTGTTAGATTAACAACACCTGATAACATCTAGAAAAAACAACTTTTGGAATACCAAATAGAAATAGATGAAAAAAATGAAACTAGGAGAATAAAGTTCTCTCCAAATATTTTCTTTCTTTCTTTCTCTCTCAGTCTCTTTTTTATTCTTTGGCCGTGACGTAGGGGGAGGGGGGCTTATATAGAAATATGATTTTATTTTTTTAATATAACAATATAATATAATGAGAAAAATATTTCTGCAGTTATTGCAGATAAGTTATCTGCATTTATTCCCAAAACGACGTCGTTTTGGTATTAAAATCTTAAAAAATTATAAATATAAAGACTATTATAACCCTGAAATAAAATAAAATAATAAAAATACCATGATTTTCGCCTCAAAACGACGTCGTATTGGGCTTACTGCAGATAACTTATCTACAGTAACGACAAGTGAACCAATAATAATATAATATTATTATATTACAAAAGTCTCCATTTTGATCACTGGGAGGGTTGCCTCCACGTAGTCCCCTCCATGACCAAGTACTTTCGTTTTTTAATATTATTTTATTATTTTAATAATTATTTTCTTAATGTTACATTTGACCTATAAATCCACAATTCAACTTATATCATATTATCTATTTTAAATAAAATATTATTTAAATAAATAAAAGAAAAGGGCTAACATACAAGACATATAATTTAGCCTACATCATACTAACAAGTCAAGTTATATGTAAAATATTTTACACATAGCTTTGCCCATTTAAGTTAAATCTCAACTCAGCTTAATCCATTTACACCTTTAGTCTAAGGGTGTACATTACAACGTTCCTAAATATATATAACTATTGTTTGGCAGGTTTTATTTTTAGTTTTTCTTCTTCTTAAAATGGGAAACTTAGTCGCACAAACATATTTTTATAAAAGCTCTTATTATAAAAAAATGAGTTATTTTTAAAATGAACAGAAAAAAGCTAGAAGTTTCCAATAGGAACTTTTCCAACTATGTCATTTTTATAAACAAATCATTCAATCTCCTCCTCCCTTCCACAACACTAGGATGACACCTAGGAGAGTGTTCATCCCAGAGGTTGTCATTGGTTCACCTTGTGTGTGTAATTTAGGTTATAATTTGTATTAAAGTAAAAGGAAAACTGTGAGGGTCTGAGGCAATAGCGGACCTAGAAAATTTTATTTATGTCTGTACATTTAGTAGCGCTGAAATTTTTTTATTTTTTTTAGTCGTTGGTTCACCTTATGTGTGTAATTTAGGTTATAATTTGTATTAAAGTAAAAGAAAAACTGTGAGGGTTTGAGGCAATAGCGGACCCAAAAAATTTTATTTATGTCTGCACATTTAGTAGCGCTGAATTTGTTTTTTAAATGCATTAAAAAACAAAAAAATATAAACAATAAAAGAAAAAAAACCTTTTAACATAAAATAATAATAATCGAGAGTCAACTAAGCTATCATAATTTCAAGCAATGATTATTTGTTAAGTTTTTTATTTGTATAGCGATGCAAAATAATCTTGTCTTATTTTTTATTATTATTTTAATATTAAATATAATCATATATCACAAGTGAGGGTAAAAACTATAAATATTGGTAAGTGGGTCTGTGATGTTAAGAGGCTCAAGATCACATAAACTAGCTGACGAATAATATAAGATGGTGGTATTAGTGTTTGGAAATGTGTAAGCCCAGCCATTAGGCTCAAGATCACATAAACTTGTGTGGGTCCGCCATTGGTATGAGGGGAGGGTTAAACAATGCATACACTCCTAACAATGGGCTTCTTCACCCTCTATTTTCTTTGTTTGTCTCAAGCTATGGTGATAATAATAAAAAAGAAAGAAAATTGGATTATTGAATAAAGTTATAGAAAGAAAAACACAATAAAAAAATGCTTCATATTTAGCACGATAAATTGTCACAAGCTACTGGATTTAATACTAATGTTGGAAAAGTATTACAACTTACAAGCACAAAAGTATAGATAGAAAAGGGGAATAATGAGTGTAACAAAATATAAAGGTGGAGAGAGTAACTAGGACTTAGGCATTAATTTTAT